ATTTGCATGTTAATGTTGGGCTTGAATCTATATATATATAGCATGTATACTCTAACAAAATATTTGCTAGTAATAAATAATTTATATTTTATTCTCTAATTTATTACTAGCAAATATTTTGGCTGAAAACATTCAGCACTAAACTAATGGTTTGACTTTGTTTTTAAATGGTAAATGAACTGAACGTATAAATGAAAAAGACTTAATGAGACCAAAGGTTTCATAAAAAATGCTTGTAATGAATTTTGGTTTGGCAGAGACTGGAAGAAGCAGGCCTGATGGGCAAAATAATCTCGTGCCAGTCTTTTAAGTTTTTTACATATGAGTGTACCTGAGCGAGAGAGATCCACAAAAGCTGAAAATTTATTTTAAAAAGTGAAAAATGAATCAATACAACAATAGGGGGAATTGCTGAATATGACTCAAAATTTGAGTTTAAATACAAAACTAGACTTCTTATTGCATGTTTGACAAAAATAACTCACAAGGGTTGTGAAATTACAACATTAACCCTTCTGACTAAACAAAAAAAATGCTGCCGCAATTACTGTTTTATCCCCGAGAAGTCTACTCGAGCTCGAGTAGACTTCTCGAGTAGACTTCCTGGAGAAGTCTACTCTATAATAGTTTGTTAACAATTAATTTTAAAAATCATAAAAAATATTTTGATAAAAAGATTAGATCCATAACATAAATATATATATATATATTTACACCTATTAAAAATAAAAATTGACACAAAATAATAAATTTAAATCATCATAAATAAATTAGGTTATAAATGAATACTAAGTAGAATTCTCGAGTAGACTTCTCGGTTTCTCGAGTAGCCTTCTCGAGTAGACTTCTTGGAGAAGTCTACTTACATGAATTTTTTTCTACATATATAAGGAGAATTTAACATAATTGTATAAACAATAAAGTCTCTCTCTATCTAAAAAACGCCTCTCTCTCTTCTCCCTTCTCTCTGGCCATGAATTTCTTCTCCTTCCTCTCTTGCTATCAATATCCTCTCCATCCTCTCTATCTTGCATTCAACCTCCTCTCACTTGCAGGTTATGGTAGTGGTAAGCAAATCTGAGATTTTGTGTTCCTCCTTTTGTTTGTTTTATGTTCATATTGCAAATCTGAGCTTATTATTATAGATTTGAGCTTATTATTGTAGATCTAAGTTTATTTTTGTAGATCTGAGTTTATTGTTGTATAAATTTTGTAGATTTTGTTAATTTTTTGTTATTATTGCAGAGCTGAATTTTTTTGATTTTTGTACAGATCTGAATGTTATAAATATAATAGATTATTATTATAGATCTGAGCTTATTAGTTTAGATTTGAGCTTATTGTTGTAGATCTAAGTTTATATTTGTAGATCTGAGTTTATTGTTGTATAAATTTTATAGATTTTGTTCTAGATCTAAATTTTTTGTTATTGTTGCAGAACTGAATTTTGTTGATTTTTTTGCAGATCTGAATGTAGACTTCTCGATCTTGAGCAGACTTCTAGAGTATACTTCTCGATCTCGAGCAGACTTCTCAAGCAGACTTCAGTTGCATACATAATTTTCAGAGATTTTAGTTTACTAGTAATTTCTTATGTCAGTTTTAAGATTTATAATTAGTGATCCTTAAATGTTTGTTTGTTTAGAGGGTTATTTTCTATGTAATGTTGAATTGCATTGAATGTTTTGTATCAAATTCCTAAATTATCTATGTTTATCTATTCTACAAAATAGACTTCTCCTGTCTCGAGTAGACTTTTTAAAGACATTAATTTTACATAACCTATAAGTGATTCAGAGGGACATTTCTCCCATTTATATCATATAACTTATCAACCGAGTAGACTTCTCTTGTCTCGAGTAGACTTCTCCTGTCTCGAGTAGACTTCTAAAAGACATTAATTGTACCGGGTAGACTTCTCTTGTCTCGAGTAGACTTCTCCTGTCTCGAGTAGACTTCTAAAAGACATTAATTTTACATAACTTAAAGGTGACAACATTCGCCATCCTTTGCCAACATTCACCAAGAAGCTCACCATGTCTGCAACCATCTCTTAAGAACAACATTCGCCCTTCTTTGCTATTATCCACCTCGAACTGCCACATTGATTCACTCTTAACCCATTCTCCATAAACAGCGGGTATGTGAGCCATTCTCTGTGAAAAAGAACAAAATCCAAACCACATTAGACATCAAAATTGCATAAGTAGACTTCTCTGAAAGTCGAATGAAGTCTATATAGTAGACTTCTAGAGTAGACTAAGAAGTCTACTCTTAATAAGCTAAGTATCATATAAAACATGAAAACTCATTCGACTATACCTATAATATATAAACATGCAAAACTTATACATAAGCAAGAAAACTTAATAACAAAAGCTTAGGATCACGAAAATCTTAAAAATTCGTTATATATTGTATAAAAATGATTTTTTTAAAAAAACAAGAAAAGTAGACTTCTCGGATAAAAGTAGACTTCTCTCAGGTTAGTTTTGCAATTGCCAAAATATTAGTCGACTTCTCTATGAAAAGTAGACTTCTCAGAGAAGTCTACTTTCGTAAGTAGACTTCTCGCAGGTCATTTTCGCAATTGCAAAATATTTGACTTTTTGGTCAATTGCAAAAATGACCTGCGAGAAGTCTACTTACGAAAGTAAGAAAATATGATTTTTTTGTTTTGATGGGAAAACACAGGTTCTCGTAAGAAAATATGATTTTTTTGGTTTTTGCGGAAAAATATAATTTTTTTGTTTTGGTGTGAAAATGAAATTCCAAGTTTGACGAGAAAATGATAATTTTTGGTATTGGCAGGAATATGTGAAATGAATTTTTTTTGTTTTATCGGAAAGTGCGATTTCTCAGTTTTTTTTTAAATGACAATTTGCTTTATATAATTTCAAAAGAGGATCAAGTGGCAATTTAATAGAGATAATAAATTATATTTGCCATTTGCATAAATGTACTTAAAAATGTATTGTTTTATTCTTACATATACATTTCTAGATAGTTGGCTAAACAAATTTGACAGTAGATTATAATTTTAAAAAATAAAAAAATTAAGGATATATAATGTTTATTCATATTTAAAATATATAAATACATAACTTAAGCTAATAAAAAATAAATATAATACTGATTTATATTATAAAAATAATTTTATTATATTAAGTAGGGGTTATTGGTTCTTGTATTTTGGTGGATTTATAAATCTTCTTTGGATTTGATAAATTTATTGATTTCAAAATCAACAAAATGGAAAAAAATCAAATCCACTCAAATACCAAGGTTAGACCTTGTATTTGGGTCTTTGTATTTTAGTCATGAAAATCCTTCCAAATCCATTCAAATTCAATTAAAACTCAAATCCTTATAATATTTAGATTCTAAAATGATAAAACCAATAACACTGTATTTCATTATGGATTTTAAAATCATAGAACCAATAACACTGTATTTCAATATAAATTTTAAAATACAAGAACCAATAACACTAAATTTGGTTTGGATTCTCAAATCCATTAAAATACAAGAACCAATAACACCTCCTAAAACTATATATAAAATCTAGAAATATATCCTGCACAGTAGCGCGGGTATATATATCTAGTCATTTAAAAGCAACTTAATACTCTCTAGTAGGGGTGGGCATTTCGGTTTTTGGTTTGGTTTCGGTTCGGTTTCTTCGATTTTACGGTTTATCAGTTTTACGAAAATTCAAACCATATAAAAGCCATATATATTTCGGTTCGGTATGGTTTGGTTTTTTACGGTTCGGTTTATTATGGTTTGGTTTCGGTTTTTTTAGAATTAAATTTTTACGAAATTTTTTGATTCAAACTAATAGAAATAATAATAATAGATATGAGTGAAATAAAATAATAAATTCAAAAAATAGAATCTAAATCATAAAAAAATCATCAATAACGACATATTTCAAAACAGAAAAACAAATAAATTATTAAATTTTTCATTATCAATAATTATAAAATAATAAACAAATTTATATTAAAATTTAATACCTATAAGGCTATAACCTTGAAACTAGAACTAGAAAACTTGAATGTGAAGAAAAAATAGTTAATCACGTTATTTTTTATTGAAAAATTAAGGTTTACTTTATTATTTTTATGTAGAGTTCTTTTATAAATATTATATTTTAAAAACCGAAATAACCTTTTGGTTTGACGGTTTTTAACCAAACCAAACCTAAACCAAAACTATAAAAAAATGATGGCCAAATGGATTTTTAGGTTTAACAATAACCAAACCATATCACTTTTTTCGGTTCAGTATAGTTTGGTTTTTTCGGTTATAGTTTTTGTGCCCACCCCTACTCTCTAGTTACAGTCGTGATTCACTTGGGATACACCTTTTCAATTCATTACTTCCCCGTTATATTTTTACAAGTTCGTTAGAAAGAAAGAAAAATAAAAAAAAATAAAATATATATCCAATAGGGCATTTAATCAACAAAAAGTTCCACTACTGTGTACAACACTAATGATTCATCATCTTGAAACCCAAAGCTGTTTGTTGCCGCTTTTCTCTGCAGTTTCCACTCATGATTTGTTATCTGTGAATCTCTCTCTCTCTCCATATATAACCTGGTCTCTCACTAATCAGTCATATTACAACATAGTTTCCTTCCCTAATTTATTGCGCAGAGTTTTGTCTTAATTTTCTAGGTTCTCTCCACTCATATTACACACCATTCTATGAGTGTTTCTCCCACTTCAAGAAGAAAGTAATTTTCTGCATTTTCTCATCATTCTGCATCTCAGTCCACAGCCTTAGAAACACGTAGGCAACAGACCAAAATTTAACAGCGAGTAAAGGCTGGTCGAGTCAATTACTCCGACCTGACTATAGGAAACCATCCTCACCTACTTCAAACAAAGCAACATGATGGAACAAGCTATGTACATACAGAGGAACTCTCACCGCATCTACATAGCTGAAGAAGTTATAGATGCACACAACAGTTGTTTCCAAAAACAGATGTGGACCTACAAGCTGGAAAGATTGCTTGGAAATGACAGGAGCCAAGAATACATCACAACTCAAATCCTTTAGATTTACCGTCGTTAAACTCCTAGGCGGTATATACACCATGAAACGATTTAGTTATTCACATATGGCATGTTTCCAATCGATTTACCTCCGAAATACAGAAAAACCTAGACTGACTTCAAGCCTCACAAAACCAAAACACGAAATCCTACGAGAGGCCACAGTATTGAAGTGCAATAACAGATGCAGCTAGAGGTTTCTTCCTAACCAAGAACTATGGGGATACAATGACCTGTCTACACCTTAAAAAGATATCTGAGATCGTCTACTGTCAGTCGAGTCGCAGAGCTTCCACCATGATCTTCACCAAACGCAGATGCAACCATTTCCCTTTTATCTTCCTGATAACATTACAATAATGGAAAATGATGATGCTGCATTACTATCAACATTAATCTGAAGAGGAAACTATGAAACTTCAAATCCCAAGTCAGAACGAGCTGATAAATACCTGAAGACGCAAAATTCTGTCCTCAACTGTATCTTTTATAGTAATGCGAGTTACAGTAACTGGCCGAGTTTGTCCAATACGATGTGCACGATCAATAGCCTGATCTTCGGTTGTTGGATTCCACCAAAGATCCAAAAGAATAACATGACATGCTGCTACCATATTCAACCCAAGGTTTCCAGCTTTCAGAGACATCAGCATCACCTCTACCTGTTTATAAACGTTTCACTGTTAGAGAGCTTCAGGACCGATAAACATTCTTTGTTTTAGAGAAATGACTAGTAAACGTCTTTTGCAAGATATATCTAAGATATTCATATCACTTACATCTGGATCATTGCTGAATTCTTTTACAGCCCGGTCTCTTGCTGTTAGACTCATTGTACCATCTAATCTTCTGAATTCTATACCATTTTCATAAAAGCACAGCTCAACCAAGTCAAGCATACGAGTCCACTGAGAGAATACTATCGTCTTTATTGGTCTCTGGCTAGGTGAAGACGGGTGAAGAGTCATTGGCTCTACAATGCTTACATCGTCATCGTCATATGGCTGTGACGAAGAAGGCATTTGACCATGCTGTGCTGAGTTTCGACTGTCTTGTTTGGAAAGCGACTGCAGGATATCTAGGACCGCTTTGATTTTTGATGACGTAAACTCGGTTTCTTGAAAAAATGATCTATCAACACCTTTATCGTGTGAAGAACTACAGCCTATATCATTGGTGATGCAATTTCTAAGGGCAGCTTCAGAAAAGACAACATCACGAGCAAGTTCTTCTCTGCATTTCCGTACAGGGCACATGTTCTCATCCCCAGTGATATAATCTACAACACACTGATAGCAAAATACGTGGCCACACAACGTAACAACTGGGTTTTCTGGTGGATCCTGCAGATAAAAAGGTGACAGAAGAGTAAATATTTTTCAGAACTAGCCTCAGAACTAGAGAATAGTGAGCCTGAGGACATGCTATTCCTAGATCTCAATTACTCTGCACTTACATGACAGACAGAGCAGATGGCAGATGATGACTCCAAACGATTGAGCAGGTTGATTCGAGCCTCCCTAGGGAGTGTTTTAACTGCTTCTACTGATATTTTTCCAACCGGATCTGAGTTATATCCTTTGACAAGTTCTGGGTGGCCACAAGCTTGGCGTAGACGCAAAAGCATCAGAAGCATATTTGCGTAGTTTTGGCTTAAAGTCCCTGCAGCAGCATATTTCTGCAGAAAATATGAAATATCATCAGGTCCAAGTACGAGTTTATGTTGTTTCACTAGCAGGAAAAAAAACTTGACAGAAGAAAAATCTCAGAACATGATTTTCCCAGGTCACATTTATAAAGCATCTAGTCGCTATAGACGTTTCTTCTTTTCCAACAAAGTGCACATCAAATTCAAACCAAGTGTGAACTGATAAATTGTGGAGAACAAAAACGAGAACCTTGAATTGTGATTGTGAATCTGCTTCAAGTTTCTTGTAGAAAGACCGCTCCTCCACTGAAAAGTCCACCTTGCTCAAATTAAGTTTCTTTGGAGGTAGATTAATTATGGGTTTCCCATCAAGCAATGTTCCTAGATATCAGAACAGAAGACATTTAGCAAAAACCATCAACTACAGCACAGCTACATACGAATAACATAAGAGCAAACTCTAAATTTACCCTTGAACAAAAACGATCAAATACAATTACAAATGAAAACGATCATAAATCACTCAACCAACCATCTAAGAGAATAGAGAGATGATCGGAGTACCTTTGGTCCGGCGAAGCATTATAGCCCTTAGAACAGCTTGAAGCTTCTTGTAACCATTAAGAGAATTTTTGGAAATTGGAGCCTTGATTGTACTGTAGAAGAACTTGTACACGGCATACGGATTATATCTCAGGAACCTGAAGTAGCTATACAAATCCTCAATCGTATTCTGGATTGGCGTACCAGACAAACACCACCTTCTTTTGGCTCGAAGGGTGCAACAGGCTTTAGCCACTAGCGTTCTATGATTCTTAATTGTCTGAGCTTCATCTAGCACTACTCTCAGCCACCCAACTCTAGACAAAGTACCACAAACAGGGTCAAAAGATTCATCCTTGCTTTTTCTACCTCTTTTCTTACTCTTCCTACTGGCACCCACTGCACCTTTACGTTTCTTATTGCTGGAGAAGCCAGGGGAGAGACCATGTTTCTCGGTATTTTTTTCATCGTTCTCATCCTCATCCATCAAGGACTCTTTGGGAACTTCATTGGCAACAATGGCGTAAGTTGTGACAACCACATCATATTTTGCTAACTCAATAGGATCCTTAGTCCTATTACCACCATGGTAGACTAAAACAGAAAGTTTGGATTCATCAGAAACCTTCTCATCAAGTTCTCTTTCCCACTGCCTAACAATACTCGCTGGACAAACAATTAATGTACCAGCAGCTGGTCTCTTTCTGTTAAATGGCCGTATTGAAGTACTCGCTTCTTCATCTTTGACTTTCTCCTTATCTGAAGTGACATTCTCATTATTATCACCGGTACTTAGAACCGTGGTCTCACTGTTGCTTGAAACCTTGAGCTCTGGTTTTACATGACTTTCATTTTCATGTTTTGCATTTTCTGCTTCATCATCAGCATCAAGGTCCAATATTTCAGCTTCTTGATTGCTTGAAATTTCAGACTTCAATTGTGACTCAAACTTTTGCTTCAGGATAAGAGCAATAGTCGAGACTGTCTTACCAAGTCCCTGCAAAAGTAGACCTTACATAGCTTTAGGGGAAAACCCACGTATCACATATATTTATTGAGCAAGAAGTTTAATTAATTGTGACCTGATCATCTGCTAATATCCCTCCCGAACAGTGCAAACTATGTGTCTCCTTCTGAAACATCCATGCCAACGCAATTTTCTGAAAAGCAATAGTAATTAGTACACAAACCAAATTCAGAGGCCAGTGAATGGAACATTAAAACATGATAATACCTGATGCCTCATTAGAGGAACTAAAAGAGTACCAGGAAGTAGATCAAGTTCGGCCTTGGGTTGATTCAAATCCTGCAGGATTAACATACTTGGTTATACAAATTGCACTTAACATGCCATTTATTGATTATGGAACAACACCAAGCTCTCAACACAACTATAATGCACCAGAGAAAAATCGAAAATGAATGCTACATATATAGTTAATAATCGAAGGTTTTATTATTTCTCACATGTAGAAAAAATGATGCAGCTCATTGGATAACTAGGATACTCAGTATAAAATGGGGTGGATTCAGCATGGTAGTGTATGACTTGAGCATAAATGAGAACCCTGATAAAACGTACAGTGCACCATGAATCTTTCACAAATATCTAACCAAAAGAAAATGAGCCAAAATGTAGAGTTATTTATTGCTCCATATTCAATATTGCAATCATATCAAGAGATTAAAAAGAAGCCAGAAAACTGTGAAGCTGGTACAAGGGACACCAGACATGCAAGCACAAGTGAACACTAAGTGCTTAAGTCGATTCACAAGAGAGGGTTGAGTTGAGGATGAATACCCGTAGTGCAGCCTGATAGATCAGTCTCTCATCGTTCTCAGAATTCTTATCTTGACCAATGCCATTCCTGTGCACCGGGTCACTTGAAGCAGCATAGTGTGAAGAAGAACCAGATGTTCCATGCGTCAGAGATGGAGGCAAGATCCTAACCCCATTAATGTCACGATGAACTCCAATCTCAGCATGGGCTCCACGGTAACGATCACCAAATGTACTCCTGTTGCCTACAGCTGACACAGCGGGACTACTATAATCCGCACCAAAGCGACCACCGTTGCCATAAATTGAACTGTTAGCATTTCTGGAAGGCACAGGAGGCGAACTAAAAGATGGTGGAAGGGTTCTTTTCAGAGATTGCTGAGAATACATCTTCTCATGATCTGCACCAGAAGCATCTGAAATCCTCGAGTTAGCAATGTTCCCACTCGCTGCCAAATTCTTAGAGTCTCCTGGCCGAGAGGTATGGCTCGAGGCACCATTACGAGAAGCATGACTTGCCTGTCCAGCTTTAGCCTGACTATTCCCCGCAGAGGAACCCCTTTGAGGAAAACTACTGATGCCTGCACATAACAAAGCACCCACCGTGGTGAATTAGTACATACAGCTACCAAAAGCTAACCTTCACCGAGACAGACAAAAATTGAGAAAAGTTCAAGCAGAACCTATACCACCTAGCCACGGGGGATCCCTCCTGGTTCTAGTTTCTTGCGTAATGGGCTCTGGTACCTCGTCATCGCCATTGCGAGAAGCATGACTTGCCCGTCCAGCTTTAGCTTGACTATTCCCCGCAGAGGAACCCCTTTGAGGAAAACTACTGCTGCCTGCAAATAACAAAGCACCCACCGTGACTGATTAGTACATATAGCTACCAAAAGCTAACCTCACCGAGACAGAAATTGAGAAAAGTTCAAGCAGAACCTATACCACCTAGCCACGGGGGATCCCTCCTGGTTCTAGTTTCTTGCGTAATGGGCTCTGGTACCTCGTCATCGCCATTGCGAGAAGCATGACTTGCCCGTCCAGCTTTAGCTTGACTATTCCCCGCAGAGGAACCCCTTTGAGGAAAACTACTGCTGCCTGCAAATAACAAAGCACCCACCGTGACTGATTAGTACATATAGCTACCAAAAGCTAACCTCACCGAGACAGAAATTGAGAAAAGTTCAAGCAGAACCTATACCACCTAGCCACGGGGGATCCCTCCTGGTTCTAGTTTCTTGCGTAATGGGCTCTGGTACCTCGTCATCGCCATTGCGAGAAGCATGACTTGCCCGTCCAGCTTTAGCTTGACTATTCCCCGCAGAGGAACCCCTTTGAGGAAAACTACTGCTGCCTGCAAATAACAAAGCACCCACCGTGACTGATTAGTACATATAGCTACCAAAAGCTAACCTCACCGAGACAGAAATTGAGAAAAGTTCAAGCAGAACCTATACCACCTAGCCACGGGGGATCCCTCCTGGTTCTAGTTTCTTGCGTAATGGGCTGTGGTACCTCGTCATCACCATTGCGAGAAGCATGACTTGCCTGTCCAGCTTTAGCTTGACTATTCCCCGCAGAGGAACCCCTTTGAGAAAAACGGCTGCTGCCTGCAAATAACAAAGCACCCACCGTGGTGAATTAGTACATATAGCTACCAGAAGCTAACCTCACAGAGACAGACAGAAATTGAGAAGTAGATAAAGCAGAAACTATACCACCATGCCACGGGGGATCCCTCCTGGTTCTAGTTTCTTGCCTAATGGGCAGTACCTCGTCATCACTACTAATACTACTATCTGAACTAATTTCAATAGCAGAATCCATTATAAGATCTCCTTCAACGTCAGTCTCTCCAGAAGATTCAGCACTCGGGCTTCTAAGAAATCGAATCAGCCTGCGATGCAAAGACATTGCCTGTTATGCTCCAAACTGAAACCATTAATAAGACTAAGCAACTGAAACCATTAATAAGACTAAGCAACTGAAACCATTAATAAGACTAAGCTGAAGCTATCTACACCGGACATTCTAACAAACATTGTCATTTAACGAAACAAAACACTTGTATCTCAAAATTAATGCATCCTAAGCAAGAAAATCAACAACGAGCATCACCAATAAGTTGATTTTGGGGACGGTGTAAGGTTGATGACATGGCATTATTCTCACGAAACTAATCGCATGAAACGAAACCCATTTCAATGTAATCGGAAACTATTTTGAACAGCCCACAAGACCAAAGACACGAAATCGAGCAGAGTAAGCAGCAATGGCGGGATAACAGATTAAAAAAACACGGATTTTGATTGCAAATGAGGTAAAAGTTAAAAGTAAAAGATGAAGAAGAAAAGAGCAAAAGAGAGAAGACGAGAAAGACTGAGAATCGGGAAATAATTTGAAAATTTGTGGAGGAAAGGAGAGTACAGTACCAAGGAAGCAGCGAGTTGGAGAAGAAGGACGCCACTGTTCATAGGGTTTTGACCTTTCTCGGTGGACCGAAGAATCTGTCACGACGGATTTTCGATTCGGACGGAGAAAGATGAAATGTGACGGGATAGAGTTTTTACACGTAGAGATTTACATTTTCAGCATCAAAGATATGGTAACAAAGTAAAACCAATTACATTTGCCCGGCCCACGATGACGTCTCTCGGCCCATGGTATATTTCCACGTCAAAACGACAAAACAAACCAGATTTCTTAACATTATCATAAGAACCTTCTTCTCTATATAGCTCAGTCTCATAAGAACCTTCGCCATATGTAGTTCAATTTTTATAAACTGAATCCTTCCGATTTTCCAGAATTTGGTACCGAATGAGGAAAAAAGGTTTTCGATTTCTTTTAATGGAAAGGAAATGATACACCTCTCGGCAAGTTTACGAGACCTAAAGCAAGGAAGTTAAAACAAAACCTCCTTTGTTTTTGGATGTTCTTGGAGACAAACCCTAAAACCTCAAAAAAAAAACAACACAACATTACCCTTTTGTTTTTTGTTCAACTTCCGAACTTTTGCCGACGAAAAAGGCCTAAACTGAAATCTTGGGAGGGAAATATAATAAATTTAACCGCTGCTGAAACCGCTGTTGCAATCTGCTCTGCGTGTATAGAGCCAGGCATATTGCGTGCGGCTTTATGCTGTTTTTTTTTTCTTTATTATCCGACTGTTAATCCAAACCCAAACTTGTAGTCCTTCTTCTTATGATCGAGCTGTTGGGAGAAACAAAACCAATCAGAGTTTTAAAAGGATATAATCGTTGGTTTATATCTCAGTACATGAACAAGGAAATCAAGCAGAACGTTGTGTACCTCTGCAGATAGAAGAAAATTGAGTCCCATACTCAATCTTTCTTCAAGGAGAGCGGATGTTACACCATTGGAATCGATCTTTCCACGTACACGAGACTGAGACAAAACACACAGATCACAAGGATAAATACCTATTTAGAAAGCGTTTTGTTGCTTGTTTTCAATTCCATTACAATCCAGAAAATGGCGATGTTACCTGTCTGAGGATGTAGTCATACCCAACAGTAGCTGTAGCATCTCTTGAAAAGTAGTTGTACATGAAATCAGTGGCGAGAGAAACCTGACAATGCGAAAGAAAATGAAGGTGTCATGATTTATCTCTGAATTATCTTACAGCGTTTTATGATGAATTCAATGAGAAAAGGAAACATTACCTTCTCGGAAATCTTCTGAACATAGTTCATAACTACGATACCAGTGCTAGCAACTTGAGCAGAGGCGACCTGTTGATACAGAAAAAATTCTTAGTATTACTAAAGGATTAGAGTGTTGTTCACTAACATAAAAACCTGATCCAAGTTTTCAATAAATTCACTTAAGAAGACGAGTTACCATCTTATCAGTTTCGTATCTTGCAGCATAACCTATTCCTGACTTCCGAGGCACACCAGCCCAAAAAACTTCCCCACCCAAAGATAGACGGGGTGTCACACTCTGTCCAAAATTTTAAAACAAAAATCCAGTCAATACAAACAGACAATACACAAATAAGGAAATATTACTGATTAAAAGACTGCCGATGGATAAATGACAACTTCAATTATAACCACAGAAACCAAGCATGACCATATTAACACAGTTGAATCGATCGACATATAGTCCATATCTAATCTCTACGTAACAGGTGGTTGAAATAAGGTAACTGCACGTGATCGTAGATTCAGAGATATGTAACTACATATAGTCCATATCTAATCTCTACCTATCTATTTGACTTCACACGGAAAACTCTATAAAAATGCAGTTGTAGCAATATTTAACGTCACACAGAAAGATCTACCCAAATGCAGCTTTAACAATATTTAACTTCACACAGAAAGATCTACATAAATGATAACTGTAGCAAGGGACAGTGGTCCACTTCACCTGGATATAGGTTGCTCCAACTAGAGCACTGTTCCCAAGTTGAAGCTGGGCTCTGTAGTCTTGTCCCTATACAAACATGAGACAGAAAAGTCAAAGGAAACTCAGATGAACCAAATGCCAGCAACAGGTGCATCACAGCTATAAAAAATATTCAAATGGAGAGAATTTCCTCACCATGTAATCAAAGTTGAACATTGCATGCGACATATGTTGCTCATTTGTCAGCTGGCAATAAACGTAAACGAAGATGATAAACAAGATATTACAGAGAATGAAAGTAATATCCAGATAAACCATGGAGCAAACACATTCTCCCGTTGCAGAACTTACCAGAGCATTCGCTTTCAAGACCAACTTCTCAGTTATATCAGCTTTCACTCTCGCATTTAGTCTACCATCAGTCATAACCCTTCCAATAAGCATCAACTGAAATATATTTTTATCGTCATTATCATATCTTCTTGATGGCCATAAAAGTATGAAACATACTGATTACCAAAAATGCTACCTGTGGGTCAAAATAATTGGCACCAAACTCATAATTGGCTGTTGGAATTTTGATCGTTTCAGCTGAAGGAGAAGGAACTTCGGTTGGCCCCATCATTACACTGTTTGAAACATCCAATATACAGGCTTAACAAGGAAACACAAATAGAACTATTCCTTTCAACCAATCAATGTAAGCATAATCTTATTACCTGTGACTGAGAGAAAACTTTTGGTTCAAAGCCTTGGTAAAGTCAAAGCGTAAGCCCTCAAAATTTTCTGCCTTTAAAGACACTGCAAAGAATAAAGAAAACAGTCAAAAAACTAATGGAAACAAAACCAAAACCTGATATCAAAACAATAAGAAACCATTGGGAGAGACACTCTACAAGATTAAAAGAACGCATCATGAATAAGTTTTGATCCCAACTCCACAAAACGATTAGGAGCAGCTAAGAAGACTTTACAAACTTTCTGTGGCTACAAGCCGTTCTTATCTAGTTGTATTACTACTATAGAGACACACTGAAGCATCCAATGAACAGAACCAAATCCGGATGAATTGAACAATTTCAATCACACTATATCATTACTACTGTTTCCAAATCTCGCAAGACCTTGAACCGATTCATCAGAAGAAAAAAAACAATTAAGAAACGAAACAGTATCCTAAAGAGCTCGAGCATGCCCACAACAAACAAAAGAGAAGCTAAATCCTAATAACGACAGTGAAATGCACTAAAGCAACACTCATCTACGTCCAGATTATTTTTCGTTTCGAAGACAAAGATCAAGTAACACACAGATTGAGCAATCCGGGAATTCAATAAGCTACAATAGAAGCTAAAGAAAGAAGATAATTAAAAAAAAAAAAAAAAATCTAGATCGGAAAAAACGAATACTAAACTCATAGCTTCACGGTGAATTTCCTCATAGGGAACAGGGCAGGGGAGATTCGAGTAGTCAACTTTCTCATCGACTTTAGTCTTAGCATCGATTTGTGCCGTCACAAGTGGTGGTAGAAGATCCGCCATCGCCGCCGCTACCGCCTTTGAAAATCCTTTACGGCGATAGTAGGAAGAAAAATGGGGAAGAAAACGAAGAAGGGTAAGGGTTTTCTTCTGTTTGGTGGCGAGCCTTTGGGTTTTGCTCCTGCAAGGGTTTTGTTATTGTGCCAGTGCTGGTTTTCCCCGGTTCAATCTTAATCTTGAACCGGTTCGGTACCGTTCGTTCTCAGGTCTCTCACACCTGAATCCGATCATATAAAAGAAGTTAATTAAAACAAAAAAAAATTGCAATTCAACAATGATGGTCGTTTTAAACTTACTCTTTTAGAATGTGTAAAATATGTATATGAACGTGATTGTATAAATCAGACTTTTTTGTCTCCACAATGTGTTTTAACCTCATTGCAATTTGCAACCAAACCTTAGCGAGCATTTTAGAGATAAAATGAATATTATTTGAAGATAATTTGACATCATATTAGCGGTCGTTGATTAATTTCAATTAAACAAGTTGTTGATTATTCCATCTTCCTAAAACAGAGGAACACATCTCCACTTTTTCCCTCTTTCCTGACTTGTAGTCCATCACTCCATTTCCTTGTTTCTTTATTTAAAGACAATGACACACTAGTCTATGATGAATAAAGCACATTTTTATCTGCGAACAAAACTTCTCTTGTTATACTTTCAGCTTCTTCATCATTCCACGTAACAACAAAGCAGAGAGAGTCCCTTGATTCGGACCACATCTTTCGTGGTATATATTAAGGATGGTTGCAACCAACAAAGAACGCATCGAGTCGCTGGAGACAAGTCTCAGGGGACTCCAAGAAAAGTTGCAGATGATGCAAGTAGGAATGACGAAGAAATTTTCTTACATTCAAGCTTTAATGAATCGCCTACTGGAATCACTCCGAACGGATCAAAGTCAAGAGACGTTTCATTCGAAACTCGAGGAAATTCAACTTGAGTTTCCAAGATTTTCCAGAGGAGATCCAACGTCATGGTTGAGCAAAGCGAGACAGTTTTTCGTCTACAATGGTATGCGAGACGAGAATCAACGGGTGCAGTATGCAACTTATCATCTTGAAGAAGAAGCCTTTGTGTGGTGGCAGGTCTTGAAGAAATCCTATGACACAAAGAACATAGTAGTCACATGGGAGATTCTCGAGGAAGAGATGTGGGCTCGCTTTGAGCAGCTTCAGCGACCACGCGGGAATCATCGGAACAGTCCCGTTTCCCGCACACAACTCTGAGGCCAGACAGACTTAGAAGAAGAAGGAAGAGTTTTGGGCATTTGCTTCTCTAAATAGATGTTATTAGAAAATTGTTTTCTTGATCTATCATTTAGTTTCTTAAATGGTGAAATGTTGACCAAAAAAAAAAAATTTGGTGAAATATATCATTAGTTTGACTGGACTCTTGCGGTTTATCGTCCCATAATTTTTTCATGCGTTGCAACAATCTTCATAATTGCAAGAGCATTACTCATATTTAATATCAACATTCTTGTAGCATTTTTTTGAGTTTGTGACAGTAAAGTGGATATAACGCCTCTACACCAAAGCCAAGAAGGTTTGATATATACATGCAACGATTCCTTTACCAGTATTGTTTTATTATTAACCTCTTATTTTAGTAACTAAGCATGTGGAAGTCGTGAGAACAATAATCTTAGCGGACAAGACCCAAGTTCAAGATACCCCAAGAAACATCAGGCCAAGATTGATCCTGTGACTTCATGAGAAGAACTCTAACCCAAGCAACCCAACCTTCCCATGACATCCTCTTGTCCCAAGGACTTCCCCATTGCAAGAGCAGAAGAAGCCCTCTCTCTGCCTCTCTCTCTGCCTCTTCGAACCTCTTCTTTCCCAAGTACACTTGGCTCAACAACACATGTGGTTCTCCCACAAATGGGTTCTTCTCTATACACCCCAACAATCTCTCCTCTGCTCTCTCCAAGTACCCTTCTTTGCTCGTGTCGCTGCTCACAGCTTCCCAGTACATGTCCCTTGCTTCTATCTGCTCTGTTGCATCCAATACCTGTTCCATTACATTTCTAGCTATCAATAAACTTTCAAAATCTCTATTAAATTCTTGATAACAACAGAAAACTCTTGAGTCAATGTTCTTTCATTATCAAGTTTCCAACCAAGTATCAGCTCATTCTAAAGGAGATGCAATCCAAGACAACACAATGATCTAGACATAAAACCAATCAGCTAACTAGATACATGCGTGGACATCAAGAAACTACTAAGCTCTATTAAATTCTTGATAGCAAGTGAAACTCTGAGTCTAAGTACTTTTCATCTTTCTTTCTTTGATGAATAGTTTCTTTATGAACTATCAGTCTCATGAAAGAAGATACAATCAAGACATGGCAACACGGTGATCATGACATGAAACAGAACCAATTTAGCTAACTAGATAAAGAAGAACACTACTTTTGGGGATCTGAATCATATATTATATATACCTTGGTGCAGAAGCTGAAAACTGGAGGCACCACGAGCTCGATGTCCTCGTCTCTCTCCTTTCTCACCACAAATCCAGAACCAGAAGCTCTTTTCCTCTGCTCCATCAAAATCTCCTCTTCTCTCACAATCAAACTATAAATCGCTCCCATCCTCGAATTCGAGTTCATCCACAGCCCAGGTTTCCCATTCCCAGGCCATAACGCCGTCACGTTGTTCCCTCTAAACTCGAGTCTCCCGTCGTGGTTACAGAAGAGCTCGTCCTGGAACCCAAAAAGCTGATCGCTGAAATCCGCCATCGTCATAAATAGGAAGACACCAACTACTCTCCTGGAAACAACGATCTCTTCACCCGTCTTGATGTGCTTCACAACGACGCCGTTCTCAGGCACTAAACCGTTGAGCTTCTTCCTCCACTCTTCCTCTACATCGAAAACCCCTTCCTCCTTCGCGTTCCTCAATGAAACCTCAGAGAAATCAAGATGATCGACGAGCTCACGATCTGAGTACTTGAAGAGAAGATCGTCGTGGATCAGGGTTTGTCTCGGGATAACGCAGAAGAGATGGATCAGCGACTCGGCGGCTTCACCGACATGGTCACGGACGACGTCACGACCAGTCGAAGGATCGAAAATGGCTAAATTGACGTAGGAATTGGAGTAAGCAGAGTGGAACAGACCGCAAAGGCAGACGGATTCGGGAGCTTTCCATAGCTTGAGAATCTTGTAGATGTCGATCAAGTGATCTAGGAAGCTGCCGTGTTTGTGCCAACACTCGCCGGCGCCGACGCTTTTGAGGACGGCGATCAACGACGGGAGCTTGGGGTCGACCTTCTCCAGCTCTCCTCGGAGAAAAGGCCGGGCTAGTTCCAGTACGGCGTTGTTTGGCGATGGAGACGATGATGAGCCCATTCTATCACTTTCTTCTTGTTACGATATCATCTCTATCATCGAGGTGATCAACCTCTTTTTATTAAGATAGCTTAGATTTAAATATAAATCTTTCTAAATGAAAATGAAAAACTAAAAAGAATGACTAAACAGTAAACACTGACTTTATTATTAGTAAAACATGACCAGGTGTAGTATTAATTAAAATGATTTATTCGATGACCGGCCATATCCATCTTAAGCCGGCGATGGATCTCGATTGTTTTTTTTTTTTGTTTTTTCTTCCCTTACCATCACCTTAAAGGTTAGGCAACACAATAATATGAATATCTGAACGAAAATGAATGATAGAAACAGCGTCCGCATAACCAGTGTTGATATGTGAATATAGATATTGCGATAACGTCCCATTTGTAACGATGTTCAATTATTTAAGAATTAATGTTATTATCTTCACAACAACAAAAAGCAGGGGAAACAGTGTAGTGAACAATACAGAAGAAAAGATTTGAGGGGAAAGAAAAAAAAAGAGAAGCAGAGAATCACGAGTAGACTGAAAAATACTAGAACTATTACCAAAGTGTTGACTTTTGAATTTCACAAGGAAAATGTTACCCTAAAGGACAAAAAATAATGGAAGTAAGTGAAACCCATCAGTAGATAATATATATCTACATATAACCTTTCGAGACTGAACATATTGCCAATGGTAGCAATGGCTTCATCATCATCATCATCATCATCACAGCGATGGAAGGGGCAAATATAATGGTGTGTGTGGTCGTCGTTTTCATCATAGGAAATACGGAACTCCAGTCCTTGGCCCTCTCATTTGATTGTTCTCTTCTGTCTCTGTGAAGAACTTCACTTCTCTTTCCTGAAAAACAAACCATTTTTCATGGATTTCATCACTAAACCAATGAATGATCTTATCCTCGAACATTACACAAAGAGCTTTGATCCATGGAAAATGATGATCCGATACTATGCAGTGATTTACCTAGAACCCATGGAAAAAAAGTAAACTATTCGAACCTTATTGCAGAAATCTTACTTATCTAAATTCCTATATATATACTTCTCCTTACACCTCTTTACTTCGGATACCAGATAGCAAATCAACAAGTGTGTACTTGTTTTGGTAGAAAGCAGATAATAAAAATGAAATGAGTAAAATTTCTGAAGCAATAGAATCCCCTCTTGTTTCAATTGAAGAGAGAAGACTATATTATTCAAATAGGAAACTACAGAGATGGCTCACCATGTTGTCATTGAAACTCAATATAGATGCGACATTGCCACAACGGTAGCAGTAATTGGGTGCAGACCACACCTTCACAACAACAAAAGTATGCAAATCAAAACGATCATCAAGCAGAGTAATAGTTTAAAATATCCAGCATAAAAAATGTCTTTTTGAGTCATAAGAAGCACGAGACTCACAGTTACAAGGCCTTTATCTTGGAACATGTACTTAAGACCTTCTTGTACAAGCTGGTGTGCACGGCATACTAGATCAAGCTTGTTGATATGGTTAAACTGCACAAGAAGCCAAAATCAAATATCGGAGGCGTAAAATATAATTTATAAGTTACGGTAATGATTCAACTATTCAAGACGAAAATCATACCTCAGTGGTAACCCTCGATCCAAAAAGCCAACCAGCTCCACGTGGACTAACAGCCCATGTTTCAATATCTTCAGGATCGCTCCACATAAGATCGCAAAAGGGCCCTTCGTGAGGAATTTCACAGTTTCGCTCGATCAGTCTTATCTAGAACCCACAACAAGATATAAAGTGAGTGAATGACCTTTATAACATGCTGAGCCAGAAACACACTTGACGGGTGAAAAACCAAAAGCAATTAAAGCAGAGTTTAACCTGATCAATTGTTCGGACATCCGGGGAAAGGCCACCATGAACACATAGAACCTAGACAAAGACAATAGTATTTTAGTATATCATACAGCTCACATGTGCCTTCTCAACGAGAACCCAAGTTGCTGAAGAAATTACTTACTGTTCCATCTATAATAGCTGATAGGGTAAGATAGTCAAAAACGTCTGTGCAATATCGCCACGCATTAGCGTTACCATACTTCCTTTGGCATTCGTCATAGAAGCCATATACCTGAAAATACATAAAACTGGGATGAGAATCTCAACACTATATTTGCCAGGAGTGCATTGAAACAAAAAAAAAATATCACTAAAACTTTCTTCTTTAATAGCGCATCTATCAACTAAGAGATACAACAATGTAGGGGATACATATACATCAAGAGCGCTAAGTAGACTGGTACTATATAAAGCACCTTCTGAAATTAGCTTTCCAATACTCGATTCACATAAAATGCATCTTAGCTAACATCCATGTCTACATCTGACATGGAATTGCCACATGTAAAAAAATCAGAACTTTTCAAAAACTTGCTATAACAACGAGAAGATAATCAAAATTACTTACCTCCTAGGAACTAGGAAGAGCGAGAAGAAAACAATAACAGATATTAGTGTTACAGAATAATGCATACCTGCGTAAGCTGCCTGCTTTCATGATTTCCACGCAAAAGTGTAATATTGGCTGGATGTCTACATATTACAATACAAAATAAAGAAAAACACAATTTAATGGAGAAAATATACTTCCAAAATAGCATTAGAATTCACACCTTAATTAGCATTTTCAAGTAATCTAATGAATATATACTGAAAGAACACAACAACCGCTAGGTAACAACAGACAAACATGAGATGCTGAGAAGCAATAATTTCCTCGTTTGAACCAAATTTTGAATGCAGTGTTATTGGGCCTATCTCTTCCAAAGAATGATTAATAATTGCCAAGATCAATAGCTTAATAAACACGAATTTGGTATTAAGCACAAGGAAAAGCACGAACAAAGGGGTCTCTGGAAACATTTATGAAACACTTTACCTAGCTTTCAGAAGCAAAAGAATAGTGAAGACTTCAAGGCTGTTGTAACCTCTATCCACGAAGTCCCCCTGCGAATTTCCCACAGCAGATCATAATGTATCCATCTCGATTATGTGTCATAGGAGATATTCCGGGGGAAAAAAAAGACAAAACTCTGTACCATAAATATGTAATTTGTCTCGGGAACATGGCCTCCGGTCTGAAAAAGTTTCATTAGATCATGAAACTGGCCGTGGATATCACCACAGACGGTGACTGGACTGTTGACAGGCTGTACGTTCGACTCCTCAATGAGAATTTCTTTCACCTGCAACATTGTATTAACGGATATCAGAAACACCTTCTGGTTAACCATGATGCTAACCTTGGCAACTCTATAATATAAACAATATCTGAATTACAAAATCGATTGAACCATCTCCAGTGAAAAGCTATTAATACATTCACATGGTTTTAAAGAAAGAAAAACCCTAAATCCAGGAACCAAAATGACACAATACAGAGGGAAGAGGCCAGATTCGAAGTCACGTCCCACCAATAAAGAGACTAAGCTAATTAGAGAACAGCAGAAGAAGCTCATAGCCTCAATCGACCCAGGAAAAGAAATGGGTTTTGCAGGTACATTAATCTATTCAGGAGAGAAAGCAAGTAAGGAAGAAGAAGAAGAAGATGGCGTACGTATTCGCAGAGAAGCTGAAGCTCGTCCTCCGTGAGATGCTGACCGTCTTTAACCTTCGAAATCCATTGATCCAAATCCATAACTCCCTTTTTCTATCTCTCTCTCTGTGTACCTCTGACTAGAAATTACCCAACTCTTTCGGTCGATTTCAATGGCGACTGTTTACGATCTTTTTCGAAAAGGAAAATCGAATCAAGATAGATCTACCAGAGAATCTTCGTTAGGGTTACGTAAGAGGAGGAGATGAAAAGCGAGAATGAGAGGTTCGAGTTTCACAAAATGACATTACGGCAAAGGAAAAGAAAAAAGAGAAAAAGATCTCAACCCAAAAATCCCAGACCGATCTCCGCCGCTTCAAACGCAAACGCAATGTTTGGTGAACAGGCGTCTCATAATAAAAATACGATTGCTGCTGCGATCCCTCACAATTCTTAAAATTACGAAAAGAGCAAAACACTTTATGACTGGCGTTTCAACAACCCTCAACACAATACATCAAAGAACCCATTTCCAATACAAAAGAGGTGTCACTTTCTTGAATCTTCATTCTTCTAAATGTACAAAATCCAAACATTACAAGGGAAGAAACAATCTGTTAACTGTAATAAATAATCTATACACCAATCCAAACCAAAAGAATCATCATCAATCAGTATCTTCTTCTTTTTCTTCGTATAGTGTTAAAAAGGACCCCAAAAAAATGTAGCAACAACACTTTGAGGATGTGTCGCTATGAAGAATGGTTGCAGCAAGTGAGGACAAAGTTGTCCATAAAATGGTTGAGCTCAGCTGTATAAAGTTCAGGGTTGCTCCTGAAATGGTCTACATGAGGTGAAGATATGAAGTTGCAGGCACGGACCTCGTGTCCCGCTTTCCTCTGCTCTACAATGAATGATTCAACTTGTCCCGCGGGTATGACTCTGTCTGCAGAACTGTAAATGTATAACTGTGGACATCTTGGTTGTGCTGATGATAAAGTGTCTAGAACATCAGTGAGTCTCCTGTAATAACAATATAACAGCGCTGAGTTTTGTTAAACGTGTGAAATCTTCATTGGAGAACTTTTTGGTTTCGTGTGTGTGAGCATTTTTACCTGTTTACTTTTGGAAGATTAAGTATCACAGCGAAGAACTTTTCGAGAATCAAAAGCAAAGCTGTTTCTGTTGCAGCGGGTTTTGGCTCCGAGAAGTTTATACCGTTGATCCGTGCTCCCATGTTCGACTCACATGATGAGCTTGCGGATCCTTTAGTGGCTATGCTGTTTTTCTTCAAGAAAGCGGCTGAGAAACCTGATGCCCATACCTGTTTTTACAAGCCAAATTAGTATCCAGAAAGTTAAATCGAAGCCTAAAGTTTCATCACAAGTCAAGTTCCTAAACAAATCTAATGAATGCAAGAACCATCTCTTACCGTAGGATCTGCAGCAGCAACAGGAGCTGAGTCTACAATGCAACCTTTAACTCTCCGCATCAATGAAGAATCTTGCTTCTGAAACTTTTCCAATATGGCTCCATATCTGTATACAATGTATGTAAGTTCCGCTGAGTGAAATGTGAAACCGACATGTAAACACATGAAAAAGAAAAAAACCAGAGAATATAGAACTCACGTTAACCATCCGGTGTTGCTGAAGGTGTGGAAGACGAGGTTTTTCTGCTGTTCTTCATCCAACCAATCAGCCAAGTGATTAACAAGCGACTCGATGTTCTTCTCTGCTTTTCCTCCAACCTGATAGCTCATAACCTCATTCATGGGGAGCGTAAATGTGATGACGTGATAACCCCTTGAAGTATACCAATCTGCATATTTCTTCAGATGCTTCTGCTTCGATCCAAGCCATCCAAGCAATACCACAACGGTTCTATTCTTCTCAGAGGAACAGCTCGAGTTACCGGAGAGATCGATGGCACTAGTCTCAGGTAAATGCCATCTGTACGAAACATCAGGAACAACAAGCGAGGCCCCGACTGTGAATGCCGCTGGTTTTGATGCCTTAGCCAATTCCGCAGACCGATAAACGCTACGAAGAGCGGACAAAGAAGTGACGCAAGGAGCGAGACTACAGCTCGGGTTAGGAGCTAGGAGATCAAGGTTTGGTACAGGAACACGGATCCTCGACAAAAAAGATAAATCAGAGAGCTTGGAGGAGGAAATTTGAGGAACCCACAAGGACCTTTCGTCCTGAGCCGAACCAGACACTGAAGCAGCAGATTCAGAACCTCGAACTAATGATCTAAGAGACGAGAACTTGTCAGAGACGTCTGCAGAGACAGAAGCGGCGATAACAGCAGCAGCAGCAACAAGTGGCCGTTGAATAATCCCAGACAAAGAACCCATGATGGCCACAATCTAATCCAATATTACTCCCAAATCTAGCATACCAATCTCATTCCACAGATTGTAGGCCGTTAATGGAAAAACGAGTCCTGTTATATAAGAAGAAGTAGATATGTAATAAGTATAGACACACATGTTTAAAACGCGTGTAAGACTCCCAAGATTGTTGGGACATGCTGCAAATTACCTGGAAGGTTCCTCTGAATCTTCGAACTCGGGCTGTCAAAACTTGACAGCCCGACCACAATGGACTAATTGCTTGTCAGAGTCAAATCTCTCTTCACACGCTTCTCTGCAAGAAAATCGTTTTCGAGTTAAAAACATGTAATTTTAAACCAAACAGTTTGAAGCTAAATACTAAAGAGAAAATATTTCCTATGATGTTGACACAATGACAAAGAAAATAAAAACTTTTTCGGTTCTCTTCTCTTTTTTAAATTTCTTTCTAACTAAAATCACGAGGATCCCACCTCCAACAATGAATAAAAAAGAAAACATGATTTTTAGATGGAATGATTTCTTCTCCGGCACCCAGAAAAATTATGAGAAAGACGATGAACATTAAAAAGAACAAAATTCCCCCAAAATTAACAATGGAGCCAAATTGCCCAAAAGAGGAGGTGGAGCAATTTTTGCAAAGGACCCACCACGAGAATCCCCAAACAAATCGCGTAGATCTCTGTGAAAAGGGAATGCAACACGACGTGGTGAAGACGACTCCCCCATTCTACGGGAGAAGACGCGCCGTCTACCGATGATGAATCGGTGGAAATCAAAAAACTTTTTCTTTTCGTCCCCGGAATTCGATACCGGGGATAAATTGGGTATGATAAAATCGATTTCCGTAAGATTAATCAATGTTAAATTTGAAGGAACAAAACTAAGAGAGAAATTAAAGAGAAAGCGAAACTGTTATGGGATGAGGAAGACTCATGTTGAGAATCAAAGAAAGAGAGAGAGAGGAGAGAAGGAATAACTCACCGAGAGAGGGAAAAGAGGGAGATGAAAAATTTGGTTGTCTTTTGTTTAGGTTAAAGAGGAACAATGTGTATGACCCAAAGAAGAATGAGATTTGGTAATCTCCCTTATATATACTGCCTTCAAATAGAACACGTATATTCGAACCCAACCAATAAACTAATTTGGTTGTTTTAAAACAACTTACTGTATGTGTCGGGAAAAACACTAATTTATTTTAATCTTAATTATTTAATTTTTACAGAGACATTTTTGGTCTAGAAATTGTAATCTTATGAATTTTTTTAGTTATTTATCTACAAGTAGAATATGAATTCAACATTCGTGATTTCGTGTGTTATATATAACGTGGATACTCATTTTTATAAACGAACTATCTTGTGGACGAGAGCACAGTATGGGCGGTGCAAAGGAGGGCATAATTATTGTATTTTTCCCTTCTGTGTCATATTTTCAAGAATATCATATTTTTTGTCAATTTTTACGTAAAGGGAATATTCGATTTGGATATCCAATCAAAAAAAATATGGAGGAATCTTGATTTTGCATTACGCCAAGTTGTCCCCACCACCATTTCAATTTCTTCCTTGTTTTTTGGAAAGTGTAAGAATAATTCCTAACCGGACCATCTTACTTTCATTCTTTGAACTATATACTACATATTATTGATTCTAGAATAAAAACACATTTTCAAGCCATAAAACTTTTGTTTTATCAATCTCGAATCAATCACTGAATTATAGTGCCAAAACTGAATGGCCACTAGATTGCCGAATTTATACATAAGGAATCGAATTCTGAACTAGCCACTAGATCATCGATAGGTTCTAAATTCTATCGAGGAGAGACATTATTTTCCAAAATAATGTGGAGGATCTTTTAAAGTAAATGTATACAAAATATCGTAACTATCATATTTTCAAATCAAATGTATACAAATACCGTTATTATCATAATGTATCTTGATCTGGTAAAGTAAACGTCTTCATGATTTGCCAGTTTACACGCCAAGCGTGGAGAAAACTCTTTTTACCCGTTGCTTAAGCAAAAAACCACAAACTTAGCTTTGGATATTATATTATAATAAAAACACTACTCCACAAAAGAAGAAATTTACAAACTGAAGTTATATAATTTGTATGATGATACAACTACAGTCTTTCACATTGAGAGGCAAATATGTGTTTTGTCTCAAGAACCTCATCAACTACTTTTCTTTACCAGGAAGAAAAAAACCCCGCCAAATCCTTAAATAGCAAACGACCAATGTTTGCCTGTAAGAAGAATAATAATACTCCTGTCCTCTCCATCAATATCAATACCTGGTGCTATTTCTCCTTCCCCACCACTTCCTCTTCACCTTCTCCATCGAACCGCTGCTCTCTTCGCTACCAAGCTTACTCAGTATCAGTTTCGTTTCCCTCAATCTCCCTCCATAATCTTTTTTCCATGTCTCAAACATCTGTTTCAGCCTCCTCAGCTCTCGGTCTGGGTTCAAGTTTGCTTCCACCTGACCAGATTTCACTTCCACCAAGAACTTTGCGTCATCCCCAAACACTTGAGCTCTCTGTTCGAATTCCTCTGCTAACCGCCCAATCACGCTCAGACCTGCGCTCATAGGTTGTTGTCTCGACCCTCCTCCATTGCTCATTTGGCTTCTGAAGTTGTTACTGCTTGAATCCCAATCCGTTGCGTCGCTCGCATTGACCGATGCGTCTGAGTTTCTCGCCGAGTCCTCGACCGCTAGGCTCTTCTTTGCTATGGAAAGACTGGACTGCAACGACCGCATTTGCTTCTGCCAGATTTCTTCCATTGATTTCATCTTTGTCTCGTATTCTGACCAACGGTTCTCATACTGTTGAAGCCTCTGTTGAAGAATGTCGTTCTCCTCTTCTTTCTCACGCAGAGCAGCTTCCGCTTTAAGTACCCTGCGTTGAAGCTCGGAAAGTACTGATGCCTTCACTAGCACCTCTCCCGCCTCATTTTGCTGCGCAGTTGGATAGTACCGAAGCAAAAATAGATCACATAAGTGAGATACTGTGAGTGAGAAGATAATGTGAATACTATCCTATTAGTACCTTAGTGCCTCCAGATTTTAGCCATCCAATATCCCCTGAGCATCTTCTAACCAACCATCCACGGATTACTGCAAGAGGATTACAATAAATTCAGTGAAATTAAGCTTGAGATTGTTCTTCATGAGAAGACCTACAACATCTTAAAAGTACAACAAACTCTTTTACCTGACTGTATCACAACCGATGCATCGGTTATGCCCTTATACTGTTGCCTAGCAATCTTGCTTTTAACTTGGCTTTGTATAGTAGCAGCAGCTCTATGCCTCCTTCGTAACTCGGCAAACTCTTTTCTTATTTTCTCTCCACGAACAACTGTAGAAAAAATAGGTGGGAAGACGCCATATCTCACGTTAAGCTCAAATTATCTCCATTACAATGATATAGTAAGATGCAAAACCAAGGTGATCAGGTGAGAGAAGAGTGTTGTACATGACTGAAGGATAGAAATTCCCATTTTAAGCTCCTTCAGGTGACAACGTGCTTGGTATCCTCTAAAAGAGCTTTGGACACGCAAAATGCCATGGAGAGTACGGTTCCTTGTATCTTCAAGAACCCCAATCTGCAATGCACATGAGACTTTGTTTTATCCCTCGCCTTTCTAAACGAAAGACTTTGACATCAGACGACTAGCTATTGTACCTGGCCAGTTCTGAAAAACAATTTTGTGTAGCCAACTTGATACATCTCTGGCAAGATGTTAAACTGATGGAGAATTGCAACTGAAACGCTTAGAGGATCTTTATCAGCAATGTTCTCCACCAGAAGAAAACCATACCTGCAATGTGATCATATGAAATCAAACATGGTTACAACTTGAGAAGAAAAGCCTGTAAGGTCCCTTGTAAAGCTACTAAATGATGGATGACGTTGTCACCTTCGGGCAAATTTCTGATGAGACATTCTTGTAGGGAATCCAGACCGTGAAATTCGAACCACTTCTAGGACCCCACAACATCTTAGCTGCTGTAAGACAAGCCCTTGCTCATACAACCCAGGTGACTGAACGTTATTTGGCTTTATGCAGCGAATGAAATGTGGGGTAGTGTTTCCTAAACGTTGCATCAATTGGAAGAGTTGACTCTGGAAAAACAAAATCCAGGTAAGATCATTAATAATCAAATATCATAGATGATGAAATGTTTTCTCTTTTTTAATAGTGTAAGCGGAAGCCTTTTTGGATAATAAAGAGGCATCAAATGTTGGTTTTGTAAAGAGGCAAAAATTGGTAATCTAGACACAAACCACACCAAGCTTTTGAAGATTTTATTAGGTTTGTGTTTAAGGCCAAAACACCGTACCTTAAATTTGGTAGCTACACTCAACCGCTGGGAATCAGCGCCACCTGCTTTGTATAAAGGACCGGTAACAGGTTTTTCAGATTGGATCAGCATGCTAGAAGCAAATGCTTGAGGAAGGTGGCAGGAACAAGAGGACAGAAGTTGAATAGAATCCAAATGCAACAAGTCTCTGTTCTTCTCTAGAAATCCAGTTGTCTCATATGTAACCTGATTCGGGGGAAAATAAAGCAAACTGTCAAGAAAGCATTCACGATCGAGACTAGGTTCATATTTGCTATCGATTTTCTATCTCTAAAAGATCTCACAGACCGGACTATAAAATCCCTTTTTATTTCTGGAATGCCTGTAGATTAGTGTCACCGAGGTTTCAAGAGTTATTACCTCTCCTGCATAATGCACAACTGTGAAAAGCTTCCCTCGATCTCCTCTGAAACATGAATTAGTCTGTAGATGCTGCTTTAGCTTGTTCGCAAGTGTCAAGTCTGTGCCATTCGGAAATGTAGATTCCTCGTCCAAAAGAGAGAGCAGCCCCAATGGTTTCTGCACAGACATTGAGACTTAATTGCTTAACAGGCACGTTTCAAACTAAAAGTAAGCATTTCCCCAAAATAAACTACGGTTTTCTAGTGTGGTAAAAATTTGAGCTCTATTTTATTTTTAGGTTGTCCATCTCGCTTCCTAGTCTATTGTCTTCTTATTAGCTACCTTTTCAAAGAGACTAAGACAATCTTGGTTGTCCTCAAAATCAACCCTTGTCCAGTCAATGCCATCCTGGATATATTCCTGAAACCAGTAGAAAGAAATATTAACACCTTGGATTAGAGAAAACTGAGCATTTAGATTCTAGTAGATTTACTACAAGAACCCGTATTGTTCAATCAGAAAGCGAAAATTTTACCTCTTGCTCCAGCTTGAATAGATGCCGGTTAAAGTGTTGCTGCAGTCTCTCATTTGCATAATTTATACAGAACTGCTCAAAGCTATTTTTCTACAAAAGAATGTAAAGCAGTTCAGCAAATCAACAAGACATATAAAAAACTTCCCCTTAGGTCCTCGACGCTATTTCAACTACAGTCAACAATTCATTTGCCAAAAAGATTCTGAATTTCTAATAGTTGTCATTATTTAGGATTGAAATTGCAAACTGAAGTCTAATAATGTCAGATAGATTTGTTCAGGAGAAAGCACAGAGAGACAGAACAGAAGCATACATCAAAAGATTCGAAGCCGTAGATATCAAGAATGCTGATGGATCTGCCGGTTCGCCTCTTTCCCACTGCAAGAGATTTGTTGATCTGTTCAACTAGCCAGTCAAACAGGCACGAATAAACTGATTTTGCTAAAGCATCTCTTGCATCAATGGCCTGAAAGCAAATATTAGCAAAACAAAAAAATGTCAAGTAAAGCTAGAATTGTTGCTACTTGCGAATTGCGATACTCAAACTGGGCAAAGAAAATAAAAGAGTCATAATTATCTTTGGAGGGATTAAATTCTACTGTGAGAGTTGATGCCAAACAAGATTGAAAGCACTGTCTTTTAATAAAATGTGACGCATGTACTAATAACGCAAATGAAATATATGCAGTACAGGATACAGACATAAACCAGAGCAGAAAACTTCCAACCTATCATTGTACTAAGTAGCCTCTCTATATTGACCCTACTTCAGATTTGATTATACACAGGAATGCAAGCAGTTCTTGTAAAAATATACCTGCGGTAGTGTTAGCTTCTGCACAATGGTATCCTTTCCAACTCTCATGTTCCGTTTCGATAAACTTAGCTTAAGCTCGTTGATGTCGCACCCAATCAATTTAGCAACAGTTGACAAACCTGAAAAATAACAGATACAGCACGTAGGTAAGTCTCCCTACTCAAATAAAGTAGGCATCCCTAGTTAGAGACTGAAGAGGCTTACTTTCATCTTCTACAGGTTCAACATGGTTTTCATTGTCAATAACGGTGAAGGAAACATTCCCCAGCCATAATACTGCAGCAAGCATTGCGAATACACTTTCTTGATCTTCTTTACTAACATGAACAATGTCCAGAGCTTCCTGTAACAACAAAGAGTTTCAAATCAATAGAGAGAGAGAGAGAGAGAGAGAGATAAAGGTCTGAAATGAGTAGATTAGAGGAACAAGAAAGTGTCTCATTAAAAGAGAGAATTACCTTAACAGTATGAAAACGTTCAGCATCGTCAACTCCATTGATTGAATAACAATTACTCTGTCCCAAATATTTATACTCATGTGCGCTTGTCAGATTTAGCTTCTCTGCATATAAGTGACGAATGGAGGAAAAAATGCACATAAATAAAATTTTCTACCAGATACGGCAATAAACTCAAAAACTGATAGTTGACACAATTTTATTTTACTTATGGAAGATGCAACCGAAGATAAAGTAAAGCACACAAAGTTAATCCAAGTCCACAAAAAATTAATTCTAAAACCTACATAAAGCATTCATAGACTTGATCACGGCGAGCAACAATTACATGGGAAGGTTTTATGAGAGTGATTATTTTTAGCTGTCAAGAAAAGTGTGTATTCATCTCTTTAAAATCTCTTTTATAGGATTCATTTTTCCTAACCATACCTCTAAGTGCAGGTGAAGCCCCAGCACAAAGTTGATAAAATATATGATATGACCTTTCCCCTTCAGCACATTGGACCACTCTAGACTGTTAAAATGTGTCAACGTACAAAAAAAAAAATGTCAATGGTAATGAACCATGTTCGAAAAGGAAAGAAATCAAGTAGGGAAAATCATCTAAAAGAAGCTACCTTTTCTAGTAAAACTGCAAAATTTGAAGAACAGGCAAAGAAGAAGAAGTAGCCAAGTTAGCTTTGTTGAAGGAAAATGAACAAACAATGTGAAGTAGAGCAATTGTAATGTTTAAACTTACAGGTTTGAACTTGAGCACCCGATATCTTTCCGCTTTCACTAAAATGAATCTCTATCAGCTTCCCCTGTAAATTTTAATATCAAAGCAACTTTGTGAGACATATGAAGACTTAAAAACTTTTAACGACATAGCATAAGAGAATCAAAATGTACAAAAAGCACAATGACGAAGGGCTTACAAAACGACTAGAGTTATCATTTCTCAATGTTTTCGCATTTCCAAATGCTTCCAAGATGGGATTAGTCTTAAGTATCTCATATTCGATTCCGCTTCCACCTCCAAGAGCAGCCAAGTATTGCATAGCTATCTTAGCTGTCTCCGTTTTCCCTGCTCCACTCTCGCCGCTGGATGAGAAATAGAATCTTGTAAGAAGAATACACCACAAAATACAAAAAAAATGGAAGCACTACTTCATTCAACAAATTTTCTAGTCCCAGTGTGTCACAGCTAATGCATCTTTACAGGTCATGAAGACTAATGCATCTTAGGCAAACTATTTACCCTCATGTGAAATCCAATAAACTAATAAAAGAGGACACCTTACTAACCTGATAATGATAGATTGGTTAACTTCATCTGTATTGGAAAAGATAAAATGGTGTGAGAACTGACATTTTGGCTCATGAGAATTGCAATGTTAACGTTCCACAATTAACAAACAATAAACCATACCGCGTATCATTTCTCGAATTGCTGTATCTGCAATTGCATACACATGAGGACTCTCATTTGATCTCTTCCTGTATGCTTCAATGTAGCGATTTCCGTATAAAGGAACCTCCTTGAAAGGATTCACAGCCACCAAAACTGGCCCTGCTTTTGTCTACCACCATAAAACGAAAAAGGTCTACAAAAATCAATAAATGATGCTAACATGCTCAATAACAGATTCAGGGGAAAGACTATTAACCCTATGAACAAAAAAAGAAAAAAAAGACTTACATATATCATGTCTTGGTTGTACCTATAGTTGAGGTTGTACAACACTGATGGCTCATTTAAGTAACTTAGTTGCATTAGATCGTCCACTCCATCAAGAATATCAGGATTTGCAGGTACTAGAGTCTCTGATATAACTTTTAAAACCTGTTAAATCAAGTGCAGAGGTAGTATCTGATCACATACCTGAAAATATTATCCCATGCCTACCTTAGAAAAGCAATAAAAAGTCACTTACTTTTCCCTCAGGCAGAGAAATAACAGACTCCTCCCCTGAACTTGTCAGTATCTTCCCAAGCTCCCAGTTACCATTTGGAAGTTGAATCCAAGATTGCAGTATCTAAAGTTGAAAAACTATCATTCCATATACCTATAACTTTAGAAGCAATAATTATGTTCTCAATTTAGATAGAAATCCACCTTCTTTCGAGCATATGCACTAGTGTCGCTCCACCTACGTTCATCACTCTGAGGCAAGGCCATTGTAGCAGCACCAGAATCCACATCATCTGTTAAAGACTGCTCTTCTACAGAAACACCGTGCCCGTTATAAGGTGAATCCTCACTATCCCCAGAGGCAGTATCATTTTGAGTAACCCCATTCCTTAAGCCACCTTTTCTTGGAATACTCGGATTGATCAAGCCAATACTTGCGCCGGAAGAATTTTCAGAGACTGGTGAACCATCAAATCTATAGTCTGCTGGCAAAGATTTAAGTGATTGCATGGATGGTGTAACCTTTTGGGACATTTTCCTGCGAGAAAGAACGAAGCTAATCAGCTCAAATGAAAAAAATGGACACAATCCACTCAAAAGAAGGCAATCTATTTTTGGTTTCCATCAAGCTTTTGAAGAAGAAACCCCACTCAAAAGATCTAACTAGTTTTATTAACATAATGGCGGGGACCATACTCTAGGACATAGACCGAAGTGCTTTTTTTTCTTTCTCGATCTTCAGTGACTGTTTTTTCAAGTTCGTCACTCAGAACAGAAAATAAAATGATGAATGTTAGGCCAATCTCTGAATAGACTGGAGTCGTATCTGAGGATTTCGTGGATAAATTCACCAAAGTTCGAACATTTTATTAGAGAGGTTGACGAAATCTTGAGGAGGAGAAGATTATTAAAGAGACTCGCTTCAAATTAAACAAAGGAAAAATAAATTAAAAAAATCTAAGGATTCTCTGGTTGACATTTAACATCTTTCTTGTTGAGGACAATAACTACAACCAAGAAACTTTCGACAATTAGATTGATCTGATTAACAAAAAAGTAACTTAGCTCAAATCTTGAGATACAAAGACACACTAGACACAAACCAATCAGAAGAAAGATACGAAATTTCTCTATTTAATCAGAATATATAGAATGACAACACCAAAAAATGCAGAAATTTTCAAATTTATTTGATTTAAGACCAATTATAACTCCAAGCCCCTTCAAATACCTTCCAAAATTAGATGCTCAACAGAAATACGAAGCCTGCGAGTACCGCCTTCAAGGGAAGACTTCAGATTCTCAAAGAAAGTTCGATTTTGCTTGGAAATAGATCTCAGACAGAGAAAATTCACCAGACAGAAGAAACTTCTGGTTCTGTAAACTCCAGAAATGAGAGAAAAGAGGTAAGACTAGAGTCAAAAATGCCGTGGAAGTGAAAAGGGATAAAGCGCATATATCTCCAAGTAACAATGGATACTGCTTGAGAGATTTCAATTTACTGAGGAATTTTGGAGAGAAAATCGCAAAAAGTGCGAGTGAAGAAGATTCAGCTTTTTCTCTGCTTCACAAAAAAAAAGAGGAAAGAAAAGGAAAAGAAAACTGCTGTTCATTTTAGAGCCTTTATTTTGATTATTTTATTTTTCCTTTATTTTTTTCTTTGAATTTCGACTCAGAAAAATTACGGTTATTTTGTAATTTAAAAATAAAAAAATTATCCGACAATTTTTGAATGTCTTTGGTTTTTGCCACCAACTGAATTTTGAAAAGATAAAATTTTCAGCACCTCACGTGATTTGAAATGACGGTAATGCCCTCTATTTGTATTTTTTTCTTGACCGATGTTTTCTTTCGTTTCAAATTTTACGATCATACAATTTGAAACGATAAAAAGATCTTTAAGCTGCTAATGTTCTTAGTTCGAATTAACATACGCTTAGAGAAATTTTACTTTCTATTATGTTACATGTACATGCATGATGCATCGCTATGTGCTTGACGTCCTTACTTAGTTATGTGTTGGGTGAAGTAGTTCATGTGACTTAATACATGGGTCTTTTTATTTATTCGTGTAATTATTATGACATGAATGAGAGTTATATTCAAACTTTGCTATCTCGGCCATTGATATATCAAGAAGCTAATTGAAGTGCAATAAATAAGAGATTAGAATCGGTCCACATGTTTTCATCACATTTTGAAAAAGAAACAAAAAAGACTGGTATGCGAAGTAGAAGTATTAATTTTCATTTTTTATGATTAAGTCAACCATAAACTAATTAATAAGATGGCAATATTTTAATTTAGATTCATGTTAATAGAAAGATACAAACATCCTTCCGAAGGTCACAGTCTCACAAACAACTAAGAGTTATTTATGGGAAATGTTATTAAATGCAACAAATACTTTTAAAAAACCTTATTAGAAATTTGATTTCATGATGTACACTGTGTTTTGAAACTAAGTTTTATACATATTTGAAGTCACTTTTACAAAATGGCCTACATAAACTTGATCCAAGATATTTCACTGAATTCAACGAATGTTGTTACTTTTTTTCGTATATGAAAACATCTTTCGACCATGTGATCAAGTATGCCTTTCGAAATCAATTTTTTTGATGTCGACCTAATTATAATGTCACTAGAAAAATATAGCGATGGGGGAAATCGTGATTGCAAAGTTGCTATTATGTGTAAATCCTAAACCCATTTTCAGTTATCGTACTCTCACCCAAAAACAAATATATTTAAGGAAAAAAAAAGAAAGAAATGTTGAATTCATATGATGAAAAGGTCAAAAGGATGAAAAACACATCACAAGGGATTGTTTATCTGATATGTCTTTTTTAAGATATATTATCAGCTTTGTTTGCCACTTTCTACGTTTCGTCGTGTCACATCTTTATCGATGTTTTAGATTTCATGTCCGAATCAAGATTGGGTTTGGTTGGGGTCAACCCAAAGCTGTTCATGGAGATAAGTAAAAATACAAATGAAGAAGAAAAAAACTGTAATATTCTTACAACTTCATCCAAATCAACAACAACAAAAAATGAAATGAATTGGAGCAAGTTCAGAACTGAAAATTATAAACATATATAGTGTATATGGTAGTGGGCTGTTGTATGATCCTCACAATGCTTTCTCGTACGAATTATACGCCGAACAAGAAACGTCGAATCTCTATTCTATCATTGTACTCCAATTTGTCAGTGGCCACTATTACATTGAAACGTGGAACGCTCTCCCTTTTGCATATATAAGAATAGGATTAGACGCATAACTTAAAATTAGACGATAGTCATTGGAATCATCAAGTAAAAAGTATTATTTCTTCTTACGTGAAAGAATAGGATTAGACATATAAGTTAGACATCAACCACTCTTCAGATCGTAGGGACACACTCACACACACTGAACCACAAATAAAAGCAGCAGCAAAATCTTAGGATATGCAAAGCAAAGGTGTCTTAAACAATGGTCATTTTCACACTCTTGCGAATCGCACTAATTATATCAACAATGCCATGCATGCATATACTTTACCTACTTACTAAGAACAACAACAGCAAAAAGACAAATACCGCCTTGGATAGTACTGCTTCTCACACATACTCTTCAATCATGTAACTGAAGTCTATCAATCATAATCCCAAAACCCCATCAACAAAATTTTGAGGGAAGCAGAACAAAAATAAAATCATCATCAATTTTCTATCAATTATGCCCACTCAACAAGTTCAAAGCAATGCATAAAGGAAGAGAAAAAAAAACAATGTTATATATATATATATATATATATATATATATATATAAAAAGCTCTGTTGGACCTTATGGAATCAGATATCCATCGAGTTATCAAAATTCGTTGATGATTTGACTCCGTAAACACTATATATCAGTTTTTTTTTGTTGTTTAACGTTCGTAGACGATTTCCACAATTTAAGATCTTAAAATTTAACATTTTACCAAAAAAAAAATATATATATATATATATATATATATCTTGGTAAGCTTAAGCTAAAACACTATCATGTTAGTCACTTTGTCCGAACCTATTTGGATGACTAATGTTTTAAACGCGGTATTATTAACATAATCACTAGCAAAGCTTATATGCCACAGATCTAGATTTGACTTTCTAAGCCAGTTTTACAAATACCGTTTTTTGTCGTAAATGAGGAACATATTGCATGTGATTAAGTGTGCCTTTTGAAATCACACTCCGTTGCTTCCCGCATTATACATGCCATTCCAGAAGCGATGAGAAAATGCTGCAAATTTGCGGCTACGTGTTGTAAATAGATAAGTTCGAAAACAAAACACAAAAGCTGTAAAGTCATTTGTTAATAAAGGTCACAAAACAACCCACAAGGGACTGTTTATCTGATACAATCCCTTTTTGTAGATATTTTTCATCAATCAACTTTGTCTGCCACTTTACGTTTTCAGTCTCTGTGTCCCAATTTTAAATGCCATCTGTTTAGAATTTAATATCTGTAATCAAAACTGTGTCTGGGGTCTCTGGATTTCACAGATCCAGTCCATGGAACTGTGCTGCTTATGAGAAAATAAACAAAAATATCACTCAAAAGAAATATTGCGATTTTCTTTGAACTCTCACATTCGTCATATAATCCCAAAATAACGACATGAAAATTACTCCTTTTTTTGGTTTAAATGTACAAAATATGGTAAGACCTCAATGTCACTTTTCTTTTTCCCCTAATCAAACTTCTTTTTTTTTCTTGTGAGAACTTACGCAACTCCTCCTTCCAGTCAAATTTCCAAGCAATGACTGGCCCATACTGCACCACAAATGAAAGCAGCAAATGATTAAGACTAAAAAAATCTGAAAGTATGATAAGTATCAACAATTCCACAAATGGATTAGCCAGAATCCATCTCTCAAAATAACAGCTCTATTGCTTATACGTGGTCGTATATTATGACTGCACCAATTTGATATTCCTCCAAAGAATCAACTTTACACCCAACTAATATATGCATGACCTATAAGTCTCTTTAGTCTAATCTTTGGACTAACTAGATACGCAGTTCATAATACTTTTCTCTGTTTTTTATGACCACTACGCACTAACCACTTGCTACTACTCTAGAGGATCTTTGCATCGAAAGAATGAGATGTTATTACAATACCCAGCACAATCCATTTCCCTTCATCATGCCAAGCCAGTTACAGTGAGAGACCTCACCCTTATACACATGGAATTTCTAAATGTTCAAAGCACAAATTTTTCCAAAATTAAAGCACGAACAGATCACCAGAAGTGATAATCACCAAGTTGCTGAGAATATCACATGCAAATTCACAAAAAACCTGGAGGTCGAAATTTCTAAAAATTAGACTGGCACGCAAGATCGAGAAACTCATATATGCACGGTACAATCTAGATAAGAGTTACCTAATCTATAGTGCAACAAACTTTTTCTTTTCTACAAGGCCTTAGAGTAACCCAATTACTTTTGTTTATTTCTTAGGTTAAGATAGGAGTCAAAGCAGTTTCTTTACATTATCTAGGCATCCAAGGTTAGCGCATTACTCGGAGTGTGGCTTAGAAACTCAAAAGGTATTCAATAAGCAATGAAACATATAGTTAAAAGAAGAGAAAAGCAAGAGCAAGCGAAGATTTCAGTGATATAATCTACTAGTTTATGCCTATGGAACTTTTTGATCAAGCAGCCACACTTGAGCTCCACTATCTATCTCTATTGCAAAACAGATGCCTAACTCCAAAAAAAAGTACAGCTTGACCGTAGATAGCCCACATTAACAATGTTCTTGTAGCCACACAATAACCAATGAGGTTCTGCAGATGATAAATCTCAGAAAACAGTCGCACAAACACAATACGAAAACCAAACAAAGCGGTTCTTAATTAGGCAAATATCAGATTCTGAGTAAGAAAGATAGAGAAGACACAAGACAGTACAAACCTCAATCCAAATCTTCCTGCCTGGTCTCAGGATTAGCTCCACTGCCACCACCGCCTGGTGCTCCAGCTCCAGACCCTGAACCAGAGCCATCCTGTCTCCTGAACGGCCAAGGCAGCTGAATACTGAAACTCCTTGGCGTCTGCTGACCCTCGACCGACCCCTGCCCATCCCCACTAGCCTGACCTCCTTGACCTTGAGCCCTGTTCTCGTAATCAGGGTCGTCCGTAGGCAGCTCGTGTCGACAAACCGGGCACGAGTTGTGCAGCTGCAGCCACGGGAGCAAGCAGTCCTGGTGGAAGACGTGGTTGCAAGGCATCTGCCTGACGTCGCTACCGTCCTCAAACTCATCCATACAAACGGCGCACTGGTTCATCTCCGACTTGAGCATATCCTTGGTCACCTTGACAGTCGGGAGCGCGTCGATTGCAGATTTCGACGCCGGAGGAGTTCCGTAGCGGTTGGGGTCATTCTCGGCTAGCTGCTGAATCAGCTGCTCAAGACCAGGGCCGAAGAAGTAGTCCCCGAGATTCCCTGGCACTCGGTTGCCAAGATCCGAGGGATTGCTCTCGATCACGAACTGGACGTGCGTGCCGCTGGATCGCAGATGCTGGAGATGGTTCTGGAGAAACGACACCGGATCAAAAGCGTCGCCCTGCGGCTGGTGCTGGTGCTGGTGCGTGGAGCGTGCCTGCGTCGACGGCCCGAAGAAGCTCGGGTTTATGAAGTCCATGACGTTGGAGGAAGGGGGAGCGGAAGAGCCGAATAGGAGCGGGAGCAAGGAGAAAGGATCGCCCATCGGGAAAAACCCGCCAGAGTTGAGATTGGGGGCTGGATTAGGGTTGGGCTCCTCGAATTCTTCAAGAAACCCACCGTTACAAAGAGGGCAGAACGGATCAGCGGCAGAGGAAATTGAGACGGTGACTGTTTGATTGCACTGGTAACAAAAGAACATCTTTTCAACGGCCGCAGCGGCGGAGCCAGTTGGATTTCCGCCGGAAGACATGACGGAATCTGCGAAATTTCAGAGCGCGAGACGAGACGAGACGAGAGGAAGAAAAGAACCGTCGCAAATAGAAAACAGAGACAGAAATTATTCTTTGGTTTGTGGCCGACTCAAGATTATTATAAAAGTTGGGCTTTCAGCCCATATAAGACCCATGTAAGTTTTGACTTTTAAGGAGTATTTTATTGACTTGTACCGGCTATAAAAAAAAACATTTTGTGAAAATTAAATTTTCATGCATTTTTAAATAACTTTTTTAAGAAATGTTAATCCTTTTTTTTCTTCCATGTAGATGCAACGAATTGGTACAATAGAAAGTCTTAGAAGGAAGGGATGTTGTGGCTTAATTCCACATGGGTTTCAGTTTGTGATCCTCATTAAATAGATAATGTAATGAAACTATAATTAGGGTTGGATTGTGTGTTTAGTTGGGTGGAACAAGTTTTATCTTATCTTTGATTGACTTAGGGTTAGGATTAAGTGGTTAGTAAGTAACAAGAGTGGATTAATGTTATACACCAAGTTCCATGGAGAGTTTTTCCAGTGTTTGACTATTTGTTAGATCATTTATTTTTTTTCAGACCTATTTCCCTTATTTAGTTATTTATCTCTTCATTTGTATAAAAAAGATCAGAAAATAATCTCTGTCTGTACAGTTATAAAATTGTACTCTGGACGTTACGCGAAAAAAAAAATTGTCATACAACAATTTCATAAAATAAACTTACAAAATAATAGAAACTTATCAAAATATTAGTGTCATTACTACGTTTAGTAGTTGTAGTTAGATGATATTACTTTCTCTAGATTATATTAGACCTAAAATAGCTGTCGTATATGAGAGTACTTCAATCACTGAAAAATAAAATGCAACTCTTTCGGATAAACTGAAATTTCTACTGATGGCTTGTTTATGCTTTAGCACTACAACTCTTTTGTTCTCAAATAAAGATTCAACAGAAATGTTAAATAAGAAACAAAAACATAAGACAAACTGATTTCATTTTTTTTTATAATATTTTTGTTTTCTGAACTTTCTTTAGGCCAAAACTACAATTGCAACAAAGAGATAAATATTAAGAAGAAAGAAGAATCTACTTCAAAAGCTAAATCTCTGAATAAAAAAAACAGAGCAGCTTTCTTTCAGGAATACACACTTCTTTTTTGATATTTCATTCTTATTTCATCCTATTAATCATCACCTTTCTCTTTTCAAATTTTCTGACAAGTCTTTTGCCCAAAGAAAACGTTTTTTCATCATCATCACACAGACTTCTGTTGCATCTCAGCAGCACCAATACCAACAGCCTCATCAGGTATAAACCTTCCCCAGAACCAGTGTGCCTTCCACACTTTGTTCATCTCTTCGATTGGTACATTCTTCGTCTCAGGCAACATCAGGTAGATGAATATCGTCATTATGAAGACAAACACCGCGAAAAAGAAGAACAGTCCGAATTTCATGTGACAGAGCATCGTGAGGAAGAGCTGTGCTACAAGGAACGTGAAGAACATGTTGACCGCCACGTTTATGGCTTGAGCTGCTGATCGGATCTCTAGTGGAGATATCTCACTAGGAACCAACCATCCCAACGGTCCCCATGACCAGGCGAAACCGGCTACGTAGATGCAGATCAGCGCCACGATCAGATTAGCATCTGATTTCCCTATGTTCCCTGTTCCAGCCACTCCAAATTTGACTCCAATCATGGCTCCAATAGCGATCTGCAACACACACATCGATGTTTCTAGAAAATGAGTGTTTGTCAAGAAACGTTAAGTAGGGTTAGGATTAGGGTTTGGGGGTGTTACCTGAGAGATAAGCATCTGGATACCTCCCTGGAGGAACAAGACTCTTCTTCCGAACCTATCGACTGTGAAAACAGAGACGAAGGTACACAAGAGCTCGATGATACCCGTTACCATAGCCGACAAGAGCGAGGCTTTGCTACCGAACCCGAGGGTTTGGAACAGGACGGGCGCGTAAAACGTAATGACATTGATTCCGGTAAGCTGTTGGAAGAAAGGAATGAAGCAGGTCATGATCAGTTGTGGTCTGTAACGAGGAAGCAAGATGTTCTTCCATGGGTGTTTCACTTGCTTAGACTCCTCACTCGCATCAACGAGATCCTGAAACTCTTCTTCGACCTCATCTGTTCCTCGGATGGATTGGAGCATCTGCTTCGCCTCGTCGGTGTAGCCACGTTCGATGAGAGAGTTCGGAGTGTCGGGAAGGATCAGAGCTCCGATCATGATCATCACTGAAGGTACGCAAGCTAATCCGAGAGAGATTCTCCATCCGATGTTCCCTTTCATCTGTGCTGTGAAGTAATTGATGATCGTCGCAACCACGATGCCGAATATAATCGCTACTTGGAACCCGTTGTTGAACGCTCCTCTTAGATTCGGAGGAGCCATTTCCGACAGATAAACCGGAACAGACTGAAACCAAAACCAAAATCGATTAACTAAACCGTTCTTTCAAGAAGCTCCTTGCGCCATGGAAGACCAAAAAAAAAAACTTACTTGATTGGCGAATCCGACTCCGAAACCAAGAAGAATACGACCGATGAGAAGCATGGCGATGTTTTGGGCAAAGCCGTTGAAAGCAGAGCCGATGAAGAAGGTGAAGCCACCAAGAAACATGGACCATTTCCTTCCAAAAACTCGGGTCACCGTAGAGGCGAAGAGGGAAGAGATCAAAGCCGCCACATAGAGAGAAGAAGTGAAGAGAGTGAGAAGCTGACTATCGAATCGACAGTACTCGTTCTCGTGTGCGCTCTTCATTTTCTTGTACACGTAAGGGAAGAACTTTTCCAAGAATGGCTCCATTGAGGTTACCCCTCCTACAAGAAATTAAAACAGAACCCCTAAATTACTTCACCGGATATTTCCCGGATCAGTGTAAAGAGGAAAGAGACTTGGATCTGAGAAAAAGCAAACCTGAGATCCCAAGATCGTATCCGAAGATGAGACCACCAAATGCACCGATGAAACATGTTACGAATACTTTCGGTGTCAATTTGTAGTTATAGTTCCGAACGCCCGGCGTTTGACTGACGAACCCTCCGGCCATTTATCCGATTTGAAATACAATATTAAAAAAAAAAAAAGAGTCGATGTGCTAAAACGACGTCGTGGAAGACTCAGTGTTGACTTCTCTGTTTCACAGAGAGGAACAAACAGACAGAACAGATCTTGTTCTTCGTCTTCTTCTTCTTGGTGTTTGTATCAGATATCTGGGATAGATCTGGTTCGAAAAGGGATTCAGAATCAAGAAAAGGTAATAAGATGATTTGATTTTGAAAATGGAGAAGATTAGTTGAAATTTATAGGATTCGAATTAAAACTGTCGTCTGACTTTGAGGTCGGAAAGAAGAACAGCTGTTCTCGTTCTTCTTCCACTTGCCTATTCCTCTGGATCTTATCTGCTTCCATAAATCTCGTGTCTTTTTTTAGTTTGGTTTTTAAATTAAATTTTACGTTGGTTTTTTGTTTTGAAAAGTAGTACGAACGTTATGATGAATAATAAATTAACTACTCACAAATAAACACTATTTAGGACAATTTTGATTTTATCGCTGCAAAATAAAGTATTAAATATTAAATAAACCCTCTTTTACTTTTTACTAGAACTACAATTTTGACTCGATTAATCTATTTTTTGATTTTCTCTCGTCACTTTTTTCAAAAAAGTAGAGAGATATGTTTATGGGATTTTGTGGTACTAAATGAGAGTAAACGCCCGCAAAACTCGGTCAATAGACAGTAAAGACCGCTACTATTTTTATGTTAGATAAGATTTTTCTTTTTTTGTTATAAACTGCCAACTTCCTCTTGTCTCTAATCTTACATAAATATTTTTTTTTGATTTTCTGCCATCTAAATTAATTATAATTTTCTCCTTTCAAACGAAAAAGTGGTACGGAATTTTCAAACTCTTATCCAAAATTCGAGGTCATTTGATACCTAAATTACCTTTTTTACTCGTGACTGCCTTTCCACTCACATGCATGGATCTAAATTGAAGTAACGTTTTTATATTATCCACGGAATGGGACAAACTTTAGTTTAAAAAAAATATAAATATAAATATATCTTGCAATTTTAAGAGCATATTGTACGTCAAATTGTTGTAAGATAATATTTATGTGTCAGAGGATATTCAAACAATGTTAGTTGCACCTGTGGGGCTATTGATTACGATATGGAAATACAAAGTTGACTATCACTATTTTTATATACGTATAGTCAAGTAGTATTTCGTAAATTGTACGTAGTTTCATCATACTTTTTATTCGTAGTCTGGCGCCTTTGCTCTCTAGCTAGTACACACTGCAAAGTCAAAAGTCGTCGCATTACATTATTTTCATGATGTTTCCAAAAATGTTTCGCCATATATGGCCCATATCTTTATTAATGATGTACCCTCGTTATTATGGATACAAGTCAATGCATAATTATAAAGATACTATTTTCATTATTATGTATGTAGTCTTTAGTCTTAGTTAGTGTTAATGGTTTATAAAGATACTATGCTAATTTTGCATAGCAAAGACTAGAACAAGACAACTAGGGATTTCAATCACATGGGCAAAGCAACTTGGCATTTAGATATTTGTTTGTGGTACAAATGTTTCAAAGGGCCGTGCTTATGGTTTAATGAAAAAACACATTTGTCTCAGACCCCTTGTCGTTAAATATTAAAATTGTGGGGGTTGCTAATTCCCAAAATCTATCTTAATATAGTGGTTAATGTACAATGAAAACAAAGCAGTGATGGTTTTAATATAGGGATTCATAGTCTGAATTAGAGTTTCTAAATCTTAAGATGGTGTTAAATCTGAAACGATCCACTCAAAATTTAGTTTTGTTGAATAATGAAAAAGTTACTAGTAGTTTTTAAAGATATACCGTTTATAAATTGTGATTATTGACCATCTCGGATTATTTATCAGCTTTGATGTCTTTGATAGTGTTGGATCTTATATTGTTCTAAAATTTGTATTTTTTAAAATCCATCACCAAACTAACACCGACGACGAACATTTAGTTTTGCCATTTAGTTAAGAAAACACATGCTTTTTTAATCCATGGCTACGCTTGGCAGACATCCCTGTAAAATATATAATCTGCCATAAATAGTATTCGACAAAAAAATCGAGCTAATCAACATCGATCGTGTCACAGCGATGTACACCACGAAGACAAGTAACGACTTTGCAGATTCTTGAACGTTGTTCAATATCATCTATCGAGTACCAACACATATAGAGTAGTAGCCAATTTCTCAAAAATTAGCAGTACGATGTTCTTCCAGAAATGATAACGTTCCAGATCAATAATGGCCATTAAGAATTTCTTCCGCACATCATATATATATAGTACATTATTCTTAGACACATATGATTATTGGAAAAAATAAAATAATCTACCAATTCCCGATGAGCTCAAATACTATATTCACCAAATCATTTACTATGTGAACAAAGTTATAAAAAAGAAAAGAAAAGAAACGACGACGCATGGACCCCTCGACAAAGATTGAACCGACAGTACACACAAATTAAAATGCTTACACGACGACGAGAAACACATCCGTGGATCATAGGCGGTGCTTCTCATCATATACTTCGAAAAGAAGAAATATCCAAACCAACCTCTTATCTTCACATTTATAATAAATATACATATATAAACCGGTTGTACAATAATTAACTTCTTTAAGAGAGACAACAACAACAGCAACAACAAGAAGCAAAAGAGAGAGAAGAGAATGGCGTCGTCCAGGGAGCTACAATACTTGGAGTACACATACAGAAACAACCGTCCCACGACAGGTCTCCTCAACTCCATTTTCATGACCACAGTCAACACCGCCGCTCGTTCTCTCGTCTCCGTTGCCTCCACCGCCTCCACACCGGACTTGCCTTCTAGGCGGTGGTCAGCTTCGGAACACCTCAGGTTTATGTTTATATATGATGATGCTCGCCCTTAGGGTCCTTAGGGTTTTCTTGGACTATCTTCCTCGTCCTCATCTCTTTTTCTTCCTCTTCTTCTGCTTATTCTTATTATTATACTCCCTTTAGTTTCGCTTCGGGTCTTCTTACGGCGGCGGCGGAGAACGCGTTGGTACCGGCTTCGGCTTCCTCCACGACGGCATCAACGGCGTTGGTGAAGTATTCAGGGTCGGGGGATTTGGGTATGATGATTAGTGACGGCGTTGATGAGCCTTCCATTAACTCTCTCGGTAGAGCACTTTGTCACGTAAGTGTGGTTTATTTATAATCTTTCATGATTTAGTGTTAGTTAACGTTAAAAACTCAGTCTACTTGATTTGAATAGTGTACACTTGTTTATGCTTGGGTCCAATAAGACATTCTGATCGTATGTAGACTTGTGGGCTGTTGCTTAGTTATATTTGGATAACTCGATATTAATAATTACAGTTGGAATATTTTTCTAAATGAAATATGGAGCTTCTCTATTTTCGGACACTCCACGAGGTGCCTAACGTGGACATTTTATATCTGTAAGTTCCACGTGGATAACATGCATAGCGCCACGTCATACATAAAAACAAAGCGGGAAGTGGTCATGGACAGACACAACTTGGGTGGTTTGTATATTCTTAATTAGTGTTATCGAGACTAATTAACTAATTGTCATATGTACATATTCATAGGATGAATTATCTGTAACGAGCACTTCGTTGGATCTCTAGCATACATAGATATTGTTTGTTCGTTTAGTTAGATGTATAAAATGTACATACAACTTCGCATATATTTGATGAATAATTCGATTGACTATGTAGACCCGGCTTATTGGTGGTTGATTTACCCCATTGTATACATCTTAACATGTGTCTACGAGTAGGTACTAGCGCTAATGAACGAGATTCCAGTAACCTCAAGAAAATACCAGTTTGCCTTGGGAATGGCTGAGAAGATCATGGAAGACAACGCCCTGAGCTGCAACGTGGAACTACTCGATGTCAATCGAGCGGCCCTCGCGACCTCCTTTGCACGGACCACTGCCCGTTTGCAGGACTCCTTGAAACGCTCTCGAACCACGGATGAGCCCTTCGGTAGTCTGCCGTTGCGTGTGGTTAGCGCCCTTCCGCTAGGTGGCTATGTCGCTTCCTACGTGAAAGGGCTGAGCACGTGCATCAGCACGGTCAGGTCCTTGGCGGATATGGCCGGTAACTTGTTATCGCAGAGTAAGAGGAGGGAGTCTGCATTGGTGAGAGCGGGTGGTAACCAGGAGAATGAGGTTGAACTAGCGGTCGAGAAGCTGGCGGAGGAGCTGTTGTGGATGACGGAGAAGCTTAGGCGTTATGGTGCGGTGGAAGAAGGGATAAAACGGTGGAGCTACGCTTCCGGTTTAGCTTCCTTGTCTCTCACTGCTGCTCCTAGGGTTCAAGGGCTCATGGTTAAGATTTCAGGTTTGGTCTTGGATTTCTTTTCGACATTGAGAAACTAATATTGGTTCGGTTTTTAGTCACTAAGGTTTCTGACAAACTCTGGCTAATGTTCGGCAGCGGTTTTGATCGGTGAGTTAGCAAGGGACAACACACAAGTTCCAGGACAGGTGAAGTTCAAGCTGCTTGCAAACTGGCTACCACTGTTTAGCCACGCAAGGAACGGGCTAGCGTTTCCTGTGCTCACTGGTTATGAGAGAGTTGAGGTGGAACGAGCCATAGACAAAGCCATCTCGACTTTGCCTGCATTGGACCAAGAAATCTTACTCTCAAACTGGCTCCAAGATTACTCTGTCACGGCCTCTGAGTGGCCCGATCTCACCCCTGCATACGACCGTTGGTGCCACTCCACTCGCCAACTTTTCATGTAGACGACCAATACAATACTCATTCTGTTCATGTTCCAATGAGGACAACAAAAAAAACATAGATGCGTCTCGTGAGCTTTTGTGGCCAAACATTTATCTTAGGTAATAAGGCTAGCTTAGATCTAGTCAAAGATTCAGATTTGAACCCTTTTGTTGCATCAGTCAGAGTCTCAGTAGACTTGAGTTTGAAGCTTGATTTTCATCAAAAACCAGATATGACCGAAGTTGTTCCATAGTGGCATACATGAACATCAACGAAATAGCCACTTAATATATGAGCTATATATCCCAAAATCGCAAATACGGAAGCAAGATGAAAGCAGATACTAGAGAAAGCTTTGAGAAAGTTCCAATTTTATAGAGATTGTTTAAAGGATTCAAGGAAATCTGATGATGGTTTTGTTTATATAAAGTGTACAAACAGACAGCTAAGGTGTTGAAGTTCTTAGCTTATAAAATTTTTTTCTGGATTTCTCTTCTGCTCTGACTAGCTTGGTCCTGTGGAGGAAGTCGAAACTTCTGCGCTGCATACGGGGCAAATCTGCAAAATATCGTGTCAGTTTCAAGTTGTTAACGGCTCACGGTTCATATGAATTATCAAGAGAATAACAATCCAATTTTTACAACTGCTTGTTTAAAAGCTAAGAGATAACTAACTGTTCCCAATTCCCATGGAAGTTGACATGATGATCACACACTGTAGCTAGTTTTATTTTAGTATTAACAAGTTGAACTTGAATCTCCTGCTTACTAGCAGCCAAACCCCTCAGGTTCGAAGATACTAATGAACACAATCACCAAAGACGTAAACACAATCCATAAATTCAATGAACATGTTATTATTATAGTCTGTAAATTCTACATTTCTACTGCCAAGTACTGTGGCGGTTTTCTAGCATGGATATCTCTAACTTTATCAAAAAGGGTATGTCTCGGTAGAGAAAGACAGACTACAAACAGTCTTCCTAATTGTGTTTATCAGGTTTCACATAGCAGACTAGAATAACTGGTCTTCTCTAACAGGGTTCTTTTGTTTTTGAAAGACGTACCTTGTTTATCTTCAACCAGTTATTTATGCACTCTGAGTGGTAGGAATGCTTGCATGGAAGCAGTATCAAGTCATCGTCCTCCTCATAGTCTAAACGACAAATAACACACCTGCATCAAGCATCACAAAAGTTAATTATCATGCTACATGCACAAAATTGTCGATGGTGTACTTAATTGGTTACAAAAAAAGGCATTACGACTCATTGGTTCCGTTCAGATTGTCTCCGTCTTTATATCTTTTTGAAGGCAAAGATGCAATTGTATCAGCAGACAATCCTCTACTCTCGGTTCCCACAATTTCGCCAAGCGCAAGCAACTCCTGCAAACATTACATAGCGTATGGTTATAAGCCAACATTTCACCGTGAATGATCCCAATATTTTTAACACTAGTATTCACATTTCACCATGAATGTTCTCATACCTCATATGAAAGCTCATCAGGATCCATCTCATCCCAGGCATCCTGCAAAAATAAAGCAAAACATAAAGTCGGTGTAAGCAGATTCAAATCACCTCAAATAAGCCTTGCTTTATATAACTATCTACCCTGCAATTATGATTTTTAGTTGATATTTTCCGACAAAATGGACCTGACACTATCTAACTTCAGTTTACTGCGAGATCTCATGCTGCAAGGTGTGAGTATAACCTTCTCCGATGCCAGTGACAACTTAATACTAGCAGATTACAATTGATTAGATTACCCTACTGGTTGATGCAATGTTGACCTCCAAATATACAATTGCGCAAAATTCTAGTAGCAATTACGACCTAGTACCAAAGTACCTTCAATAGAGTAAGAATGTATAGAATTATTCAATGGCAGCCAATTTCCAGTAGCTTGACTGGCGAAACTACAAACAATTACTACGTCATATACACAGGGAGGAGTATCTAACTGCGCCTCCGGACTGAACAGACTAATACAACAGACTAACACAACAGACTAGACTGCCCCAAAAACAAAACAAACTAACGCATGATGTATCACTTAGAAAATGGCACGTTCTATGTCACGACTTTGTCCATTGGCCACCATATGACTAAACAAAAGAAGAGGCTAGAGAGTAGTTTTTATCACATACTGGAGAGAAAAGGTTCGTATTCTCAAGCAGAAAAAGGTTTACAACTCAAGATCAAAAAGAGTTTTTTGTAGTGTAAGGAGCCTACCTGAGAAGTATCATCCTCATCTTCTAAATCTTGAACACCTGCAACCGATAACCGTTAGCATAATCCCAAACCGATTTTAGAACGCCCATTAAAAAACAAGAACTTGGGTGATAGCTATAAGTGTACTCACGTTCTGCTAACCCAGATAAGGCAGACAATCTAGCTGCCATATCCCTTTCTTCAGCTTCCTGAAGGGCTCTAGCATAGGCCTCATCATCTGAATAAGCAACTTCTTCGGTGCCAGAGTTTCTTCCGTCATCTTCTTGATCGTCTTCATGGGCATGGACGTCGGAAACATCTTCCTGAGGGTCATCATCTGTTTCATATTCGTCTTCATCGTCATCCTCATCCTCATCATCATTCTCATTCTCAAGGTCATCAAACTCATCCTCATCGTATGCATAGCTTCCAGTTTCCCAGCTCCCATAGTCACTGATATCAGTGTTCATAGTCAGCATCATATACGCCCGCTCCTGAAACCCGAAACATACACAGCGCACATACGAAACAACAACATTCAATAGACAATTCTACAGAAAAAATGCAAACTTCAAATGCAATTATGAAGAAATTGAGGAATTTAAGCTTGAAGAAAAGGCGAGAAGCAGTGAACTATTCCGCGTATGTATCAATTGGGAATAAGCAACGAGAAAGCCCTAACAGCATCGAAAAGCCTAAACACGCAGAAATCGAAAACAGACACATGGGAGAGAGAGAGAAAGACCCACCTGTTCTTGGAGGGTTCGAGCGAGAGCAAGATCCGCATCAATCTGGCTTAGATTAGTGAAGGGAACTCTAGCGGAGGAAGATCGGGGAGGTAGGTCTGCCACCAAATTCGATCCGCTCTCCTCGACGGCGACCGCAACTGCCGTCTCCACCCCATCCTCTCCTTTCTCGCTTCCACTTCCGGCGTCTGAGATAACACCGCTGGGACGATTCTCCGGCAACCGTCCATCAGTCTCGGTAACCTTGGTCGCTTGCTCGGCGGTGACGACGACGTTGCCAGCGTGGCCATTGTCGTTCTCCATGGGCATGATTGAAACCTAGGGTTATTGAATCCGATTTCGGGAGATGGGCGAAGGGAGGTTTGTGGGATTGGTATCGAAATGGGAATTATTCAGGAATCTGAGAAAACGATGACGACAAAGGGAAATAGTGCCTCCTCTTAGCTGATTTTAGTGATTTCAAAATTTTGAAAAATGCAAAATTTTCTTCCAAATCACACCCCTCAATTTTTGTTTCTTTCTAAAGCCACCGACTATGTTTATCATTTGCACCTCCACCATTATCGTCCGATTAAAATTGAGGTTGATTAATTATTAATTAATACACATTCTTAATCAATGCAGTGTCCATCTTGTTGTTGCTTATTGAAATCATTTTGGTATATTGTTTAAGCTTGAAACCTTACGAAAAAATGTTATCGATGTTCATTTTATTTATCTTTTTTGAACAAATTCATTTTATTTATCTTAAGGAAAAGAAAATCAGTTAATGAGACGAAGACGAGTCAGGAGAGTCGAGACGCCAAAACTTTTCGCGGAAACGTGCAAGTAAACTTTGGCTTGATGAATAATATAAAAACTTGGCCTTTATCGTATATATTTTTTTGTATACAATTTGATCATGATTCCTTTCATTGTTATTTTTCAAGTTTATATTATTAAATTATAATCATTTCTTTTTTTATCAAGAGCTTGAATGTATTATGCGGTTGGAACTTTGAAGCACAAATCGTTACATTTATAAAATTTATTTTCCACAACATTTGATCTAAATGAGTTCATAAAATTAGTTTTTATGAAAATGTTAGAATTGTTCAAGTTTCCTTTTGTCTTCTTATTTAGTCATGTATTTTAGTTTTAGACGTTTTTTATTTGGCGGAAAAAAACATATTTTTTTTTAATAGGGAATTTTGCATTGTTTAAGTATTTAATTTTTTTTTTTGGTATCTCCTTCTTCACCGTTCATTCACTGGTTTGTTTATCTCTCTGATTTCTCCTTCTCCTCATCTCCTCCTCCGCAGCACCGCCGTGCTCTTCCCCAGCTCTGCCGGCGGTAAGATTGTGCTCTCTCTCAACTTCTTGGTAAATTCTTATTTTTGCTTCATTGATTCTCCCTCACTAGTTCATGTTTAGTCGCTTCTCGATGTTACCCGGTTAACTGTTACTCAGTTATTACAACAGCGATTTCTCCATAAATCTCTCAAGAGCTAAAACGAATGAGATTGATTATAAATGATATGATGGGACGAGATTCATTTTTCTTCCACTTAGTATGCGATTGTCTGTTTTATCGGCTCTAGCAGGGTTGTGTAACACACCACTTTATCAAAGAGATTTTTTTTTTTTTTTAATTTCTCTACTTAGTTTCTGTGTTCACTGTTGGTTTGAGAATTAGATTCGATTCTTGAAAACTGCAGCAAAATTTATGCTTTGGCGTTTTTTTTTACTGCATTTCAGGATATGATGAGCATTGTCTCAAGTCATCATCACTGTCAACCATCGATTATACACGAACGGTGCGGTATAGGAACAGTATCTAAGGTTTCTTGTTCGAGATATTGCAGTCCGTGTTTCTCTGGAAGTTTGGCTTTTTCTCATAGCCTCTGCTTGAAGAGTACTTTTGGGAAAACTGCTAGGAGAAGTTTTTCAAGAATTTGCAGTATTGTTGATGACGGGGTGAATCCAGATAACGCGGATGACGAGGAAAAGGAATCACTCGATGATAAAACCAAAAGGGTATGTGTTATATATAAACCTAAAGGGGTTAATCCTTTTTGTATATGAAAGCCTAAATCTTCGTAGTTCTTGAGATTAATACGAAGGTAATAGTGTGTTGATCTACTTCTCTTTGAGCATGGAAAATGTGCGCAATTCATATTATTTCTTTGAGTAATTTTGATGTCCCAATGTCTGCCCGTCTCTGTCATGGCTTAGTGACACAACATAGAAGTAAGCATGGTTTTGTTTAAATTTATTGATTGCTTGATAGTCATCTGATCATTTCAAAACATCTTTTTTTTTTTTTTTTGTCTTTAGCAAGCGAATGATATGAATCGGGCAAATCTTGAGAGAATGGTTGGGTCGGATGATTCTGCTTTTAACGGCTTAGATCTTGCAACTCTCATCAGGCAGAAGTATGGAAGATCTTACGATGTTCAGCTCATTAAGAAGGTATGACTTTCTGTATCCAAGAGTGTTTGCGATTCTGTATTGCATTTGCATGTGAAAGTCGTAGCTTAAGACAACTGTGTTTATATGCAAAAATGATCTCAACTTCAAGAAGAAAGTTAAGACCTTCACTTCAATCATCTTCTTTTAATTGCATGAATTTCAGATTCAGCTGTTCATGTTCCTTTTGCCTTTTGGGTTTCTTGCTGTGACCTCATTTTTTGTTAATGTGGAAATATTCGTGGTATTAGAAGCCAGGAACTTAAAAATCATAGTTCTTAGATGTGATGAATGTAGGAGTTCATGGGGCGGAATCTTCTTGCAATGAATGTCATGTGGAAGTACAGAGAACAGGTAAGAGAATCATATGCTGTGTTTTGATCATAAAAGAAGCCTGTTGATATAATTTGGATTTTGGTTTGAGAGTCTTTGCCACATAAAATGTGACATGTTGTTGGTATATACCTCTTGCCTTTGGAAGCCAATACATGTAAAGCTAATTCATGGCTCTTCTATCTTTCTTTTCATTTTGTTCAATGCCTAGAGGTCTTTCCCTCTAACGGAAGAAGAATACATACTGAGACTTGACGATGTAGCCAACATGTTGAAGTGCTGGGGAGCGGTCTCACATATTCGTAACAGCCTAGCAAAGTCAAAGGAGCGGCCCCGGATAGGGAAGGTGAGACCAAAGCCTTGAACAGGAACCTCGAAATTGTTGTTTAACGTATTAGTTTAGATCACCTCGGTCGATAAGAGAGACCACTTTGAGATCATTTTGAGTGTACTTAAAACTGTATTTGAGAATCTCTCGGGTCTCTCGGCTGATGTCTTCTCTTTGTGCAGGCTGTCAGCATTTTCATAGACATGGATTCGACAGGGGGACGAGCAAACGAATGGATTTACAAGTAGAAAACCGACCGGTTTACAACTGCTACACCGACAACAAGCAAAAGGTTTTTTTGTTGTTGTGTCTAAATATAATCGTCATCAATTCGTTTTAAAAGCTCTTCTGTGATGCAGAAACAAGAGAGCTTTGTGCTATATTTGATGTCTGAAATCAGATATTACATGTGTGTGTGTAGCTTAGTAAACACAAATCTTTACATGTAATCTCTTTGTAAAATCTTGATCTCCATGTATTAATATTGAATCCTCTTTGTGAATCTTTCACTCTCTTTGTGGTTTGTAAAAGCAGCCACATGCTCACTCTTTCTCATTTAGTTTTGGCATTTAGGGAACTCTGGGACCATTTCCTTAGTGATATATTCATGGCTATCTTTACTTTTCTAGGATTTATATAGTTAGTTTAGTTATATCTTTTTCAATAAGGAATATCCAAATCGATTTGCAAGTTGCTGTAATATTACTGTTGGATTAGACTCTATAAAAAAATGGATTTGGATCTATAACTTTTTTTTTTTTACTATGGATCAGTTTTTGATAGTTTTTGTGAAAGTGAACCATAATTTTGTCAACAATGAACTCGACTAAGAAATAAGCAAAGTGGATATATTTTGTTAGGCATCCCAATTTTTTTACAAGTACTGCTTTAATATTATAACCGTACCGTAAAATACTTTTTTTAGTTGAAGTGTAGAACCATCACTATGTTGGAATATCGTGATACTTTTTTTATACAATCCATAATGATAAATGATAATGCTTATCTTCATCATCATTATCATCACACTCAATCCACCTCCACGTCCTGCATCATCATTTATTTGATGTTATTTTTCTCACAAAATCGAAAGAGAAAAAGAGAGACCATCATCATTATCACACTTACTATTATCGATGATGTTGTCACATCACGAGCACATCATGACTCACATCATCAACGTATGCTTCTTAACTTCATCATCAAAAGCATTCCTCCTCTCTTCTCATCACCACAACCACTAACAAGTAAAACATCTTCATCATCTTTACTCTTCCTCTACTGTCATACATCATCGTCATGACCGTCGTTTGTAGCATTAATGTATGGACAAAAAATATTCACCAATTACCATTCAGGGCATCAATTTTTTTATTCCATTGTCCATAAACAAATGCTACTAATTACTTTAAAAAAAAAATCGTATTAATAAGATCATGATATATCATCACCAATTGACATCACATTTTTCAAATTTAGGACTTCAATTAAAGTTTTTGATCGATACAATTATGTGTAGTGACGATTTTATTCTGTCAAGTCATTGTGCTATATAGTCTAAATGGCTATATATCGTATGTTTTCGATTGCGCCGTTGAGTCATGTGTAGTAATAATTTTTCTGAATGAGAAATTAAGAAAATCTTTATCAGAGAAAAAAGAAAAGTAAAGAAAAATAATTTCCAAATTCGAATGAATGTAGCAAATCTTTGGAGCTAGTTTGACCCGAAAGTAAGGTGAAAGTACAGAAAGGCCTTCGCTTTTTATTACCTCTCTCTCTCTCTCTCTCTCTCTCTCTCTCATTTCACAAACACAAAACCATAAAAAAAGAACCAGACTGAGTCAAATTTTCAGAACCACAATTCTCCGGCGAATCCAACGTTCTCCACCTCGAATCACTACTCTATCGACGGCGAACTTCCCGTCGAAGCCGTTTCATGATCGCAATTCGTATTCAAGCTAATCATCGCCTACCCGAATCGGACCAGTAGAGAGAAAATTAGTCCTTCCCTACAGTAAAAATTCCAATTCGTCTCTACACCGGCGACTTCAACGATAACACCGTAGTGTTCCAATCCGTTTTTCCCGACGCCGGAAACAGACTCGGAATTGAAAAAACCCTAGTGATGTATGGTTGATTGGTGTGGCGATGCACCGGCAGGGATCGTCTCCGATCACGCCTTCAAGCTTTAGCGCCGCCGTTTATACCGCTGCCGATGTATCTGCTGGACTGAGCAAGTCTCCTTTGTCTCATCCGATTACAGTGACGCCGATTTCCGCCGCTTACCCGTCCGGTGATCCTTTGCCGACGATGCCCGGGAGTCCCCTTGCTAGGGTTCGATTATCTGAAATTCTGCCTTATGAAGGTGCTCCTTCTCCGGCCTACGGAAAAGCCGTTGAGGCTCTGTCTGTGTCTCTGATGAGGTATAATGCCTCCGTGATCGAGCTCGGGAGCCATGACGCCGCTCTGATGCGATGTGGCCTTGAAGCTGCTCGTTTGTACTTCAGAACGAGAACCCTTAACGTCTCTGGCAAAGGCAGTCGTGGACTCTCTATGTACAGAGCCGGAAGGTTAGCTCTTGGTCACTGGTTTTGTTTATGTAGAACTGGTTGGTTTTGGCGCTTGAATTGGGACTCTTTACTTTGATTGTCGTATTCTTGAAATGTGGTCTGTTCTTACTTCTCTGTTCCTGATCTATATGACTGTTTTGTTTGCTCGTCTTCTGAATAGATCTGTTGAAGATTTAGACTCGTCGCCTCCATGCATGGCTGAGATTTTCCGGTGCTTGGGTAAAGTAGCACGAGCGGCTTTATCAGCTGTAGCAAGGCATCTACGTCTAAGAAGCGAGTAGGATGGTTATGATGCGTTGATCTCTCGTTTACTACTATTGCAGTGTTACCTCTTTTTCTTGTATTAACTCACAGAACGGAGATCTGTATTTGCAGTGTTTTTAACCATATGCTCGACGACTTCCCACTAGCTCCTAACGAGGTTTCCTCGTCTGTGCTGTTGGCTTCCTATGCTCCTGCATCGATCCAAAATGGAAAACCTGCTCCTGGAGGTGGGAATCTATCCGCTAATGTTGAAATTGAGAAGGGTTTGTTGACACTCTTCTGCTCAGATGGCACTGGCGTTCAGGTCATCTCTATGAACTTATACATATAAATATGCTTTCGTTATAGCGAGGAACTTGATGTGAAAACGTGACTTTGTTTGTTTATCTCTCGAAGAACAGAATAGTTTCATATGAATCTGACATGAATCCTAAATTTGCTTACTTGCTTGAAAACACCTTTCCATATATATAGTACCTTTGGCTGTTTCTTTTGTTCTCTCTGAAATTTCTTCTATCCTTAGGTATGTGACCCAAATGGTCGTTGGTACGTAGCAGATAATGGATGTGGGGTTGGTGATCTCTTACTGATTACTGGCAAAGCGCTTAGTCATGCTACTGCAGGTCTCCGTCCGGCTGCCTCCTATAGAGCTACTGCTGATCATTTGTCTGGTGACACTCGCGGAAGGTTTGTTTTGAAGAGATTATATAAGCTTTTCCTTAACAGGCTTCATGACAAACTTTTCCTTCAAATTCTATGACATGAATGCATGCTTACATATTTAGTTAAATTGTTGAACTTTTCACTTGCAGGGCATCACTAGCCTTTAGGCTTATGCCGAAAAGTAGCGCTATATTAGATTGTTCCCCAATAGAAGCAGCTGGCCATGTAATTCCTCATAGCTATGTGCCAGTATCTGTCAGTCAATTTATGGATAACCTCTTGGCCGAGAATGACACTCTAGTTAGTCCGCCTGTGAAGACCAATGTAAGTCCTATCTTACAGTAGCAGAACTAGTAGTCTAGATTTAAATGTAACATTTACAAACCTTTGATATCTGTGAAGTTCTATGCCAATACTACCCAAATCTATCTTTTACCTTTGACATTTGGAATAGAAATGGATATTGAGGAAAGGAATTTGAAAAATCATATTCACGGGTATATTTCAGATCATGCACTTTTGTTTATTTAGATCATCTCAGTCTAGATTTTAATGTTCTGATGTGCAACGTACGTATCATTTGTTAAAGGATCTGCTTTCACGTGGATCCACGTTTAGTGATTTGCACTAGCTCAATACAAAAATGATATAAGTTTCTATGTTTGATGTTAACTGCTCAGAGCACACGGTCTTATGTCAAGAGATCTTCTTCTGAATTGTGGATATCAGGTTTCACGGGATGATGTTTGCAAAGAGCCTTCCTTAAGAAGTGTTCTGTCGGATCCAATTTCGTGAGTAACACTTTTTCCTTCATGTATATCATTAGACGAATAACTGTTCTCTCGGATGAGTTGCTTATCTAATTTAATCTGATTCACGTAAAAAGTACTCAGCATTGAAATCAGGATTCTAATCGTCTGTTTCTCAAACTCTTTGATGTTTAGTGGTGCTTTTCTTGAAGATGCAATGGTTGTCTCTTGTGGACACTCATTTGGTGGCCTCATGCTTGGAAGGGTCCTTGAAATGGTTGGTGTCGTTTGCCTTTGATTCTGTTAATACGCTAGTTTCATGTGATGGTTCCTCCTACATGCCCAATACTATTTAGTAACCACAGTTATCTTCTGCACAGTCTAGATGTACGCTCTGCCATGCAGAAATCGAGCCTGGGTCTCTGGTCCCAAACCATGGTAATTCCCATAAAGCTTCACTCTCTTTTAATCCGTGTTCCTCAGCCAACAGTGTAGTCTTTTTGGCCTGTGACGTAAACAAACAATCCTAACCGTTCTCTTAATGTCAAACACCTAGCTCTTAGAGCTGCCGCTTCAGCTATAAAACAACAGGACGATAAAAGACTTTTCCACAACGCAGCAATGCGGAGGCGTAGAAAAGAAATGAGTGATCAAATGGATGTGGTGAGATGATCTGACACAACTCTTATATAGTTAATTGCTTTGTACGTCTTTGGTGGTTTCCGGTTACATAGTACTATCTCCAAACATATCAGTCTGCATCATGGACCTCTGATATAAAGTTACGACTTGATCCCAAATTTCTCCCTGCAGGAAAATGGAGATCCAGCTACGGATGATGGATTGCAGCGAGTGGTGCATTATCCATTTGCTGTTAACGAGAAAGTGCTTATCAAGGTAGGCCATTAGTTTTCATATTTTGGCTTCTTTATCAATATATATACAATTGGTTCTAGCGCTATGAAACACTTTTCACCATTTGCAGGGAAACCGGAGAACGCCGGAAAAGTTTGTGGGAAAAGAAGCAATCGTGACATCTCAATGTCTCAATGGCTGGTAACTAACTAATAAGAGCTGAAACAAAACGATGCTTTGTATGTGAAGAGAGTTATTTAAGTTCGATTCTCAAACTAAATCCCTGACTTGGATATTAGGTATCTATTAAAGATTGTCGAAAGTGGAGACAACGTGCGGCTGCAATACCGATCCCTGAAAAAAATGACGAACGATGACAGAGGAGGAAGTCTTCAACTTCAACCGGTTGAGAGCAATAGCTTGTAGAATGTAGTCTATGTTTCACCCTTTTCTTTGCTTCTTATTCTGCATTTCTAGAGATAAAAGAAAAGGAAAATTTCGTTTGGGGTTTGAGATTCTGCATAAATTTAAATCGTGTGGTTAGAGAGAAGAAGTAGTTGGAAACTAATAATATATTTGCCTCCTAAGTAATTTTAGAGGTTTTGTACAGAATAAGGTATAAAGGAAAAAAACTGCTTACTGTGCTTTTTTTTTTACTGTTTATTGATTTTACATTGACTAAATAGTAAATACATATTTTTGGTATTTCGAGTAGTTCGGAATTCGGATATGAAGGTTTATGACCCAGATACCCGAAATATAATTTTAGTTGATATTATGAAAAAACTTGGTTATAGTTTTGACAAATATGAATAAGGACATTAGAATACTAGTTGAGTTACAGATATTTTGGTTTAAACATTTTTAATACAGTTGAGTATAATTATTATAGCATTTTGATTATTTTTCAAACCTAAATATTTATGATATATATCGTTGTATTTTACATACCAGTTCGTTTCAGTTGTCTGAAATATTTTGCACAAATAACTATTTATATATGGCTAAATTATCAATCTTATTATATAAAATTATATGCTTCACATGATTGCAATATGTGGCAAGTTAATCGATCTGATTTTATTACGAGTTTTCATTAAATTAAAAATAAATAAAAAGAAATTTCTTAGTTTAGAAAAAGAATATAATTTAAAATACTAATTCTAAAATAAAAAAAAATATAATTTAGAAAAAAATTAATAAAAATAAATATTTCAATTTGGAAAAGGAAAAAAAAAACTATAGACTAATCTTATAAGAAAAAGAAAAATACAATTCACATTTATATAAACACATAAAATCTTTTATAATTTTTCACCAAACAAATTAATACTTTTTGAGCTTCATTTTATAGGTATAATTTTTCTTCTTTTATTTTATTATTATTATTAAAAGACTTTATACAGAAAAATACAATTTGGAAAAATAAACAAAAGTTAATAAAATGATATATTTCAATTTGGAAAAGGAAAATAAGCTAAAACAATAATTTTAAAAGAAAAATAAAACTACAATCCACACCTATAAAAACACATAAAATTTCTCATAATTTTTCACCAAACAAAATATTACTTTTTGAGCTTCATTCTATAAGTATAATTTTCTTTCTTTTATTATATTATTATTATCAAAACACTTTAGACAGTATTCCAAATTTTTATCAATTATGATTCGTTCGGTATTCCAAATTTTTATCCTTTAAGAATTTGCTAAATATTGTATACATCTAAAGTGTTTTCAGTATTTAGTAACTATATTATTCCAAAATAATTACATGCAAAATGTGCAAAGCATGATTACATGAAAATGAAATTCTAGATGCTAATAATAAGTTCAATGAGGAGGAGGGTCAACAAAAATCATGTAAAAAAGCCTTTGACACGAGTCTTGAAAATTATAACTTCTCTAGAAAGCAAAAAATTATATGCGAGAGATGTATGTGGAGAGAAAGAGAAACTTTGTTTACTTGGAAAGAGTTTATGGGGGCATATTTAACATAATCGAATAATTTAAATTGCATATCCAAGTTTTGAATGCAATAAAACAGGAAAAAAATAATTGATAAAATATTTAACTATAAGTGAAGTATGGTTAATATTGCTAAGAATTTTTAATAAACTCTGTGTTTTAAATATTTTAATTGAAAACAAACGAAAATTTAAATAAGCAACTCTTAGATCTCAATTATATATTTTTATCTATGATCTAGTTTTTTTTCTATTTTTTCAAATTATTTTAATAAATTTTAAATTTTATTATATAATTCCGCATATATACGGATCCTAGATACTAATCTAGCCTCATATAACCCAAAATATTGTAGTATTGTTATTATCACTAGGTATTAACCCGTGCTATGCTGCGAGATATTTGTCTAGATTTTGTTTATATTTTTAATATGATAAGATTATTTTTATAATGTAAATGAGTATTATATTTATCTTTTATTAGCTTAAGTTATGTATTTATATGTTTTAAATCTGAATTTATATATCTTTAATTGTTTTTATTTTTCAAAATTACAATATACTATCAAATTTGTTTAGCTAATTATCTATAGATGTATATGTAAGAATAAAACAATACATTTTAAAGTACCTTAATGCTAATAGAAAATGTAATTTATTTTCTCTATTAAATTGCCACATGATCCACTTTTGAAATTATATAAAGCAAATTATCATTTAAAAAATTATTAATTATATGATTATTTAAAATTATAAAATTTATTTATTTATCACATATTTATTATAAATCTATGTTTCTAAAAATACCAAACTATAATCAATAACATTCATATCAAAATCATTGCTATTGCTTTAGAACTAAATAGAAAGTTCTGTTTAAACTATTGAAATATCAATTTAGTTGAAGTTAAATAATTCAATTTTGGTTACTATAAACATATTGTAACTTAAAAATTTAGCACTGAGAAATTTTATATTTTTACAAAAACCGAGAAATTACATTTTCTGACAAAATAAAAAAAAGTTATTTTCACACGAAACTGAGAAATCACCTATTCCCGCCAAAACCAAAAAATTCATTTTCTCGTCAAACCTCAAATTTCATATTTCTACCAAAACAAAGAAATTATATTTTATCGAAAAAACCAAAAAATCACATTTTTCCGCGAGAATCCGTGTTTTCCTTCCAAAACAGAGAAATCATTTTTTTTACCAAAACCAAAAAATTTTATCTTCTTGCAAAAACCAAAAAATCATATTTTCCTGTCAAAACCGAAAAAATTATTTTCCCGCAAAAATCTAGAAATCGTCTATTACCGCCAAAACAAAAAAAAAATTATTTTTCTCGTCAAACCAAGAATCACGCATTCCTACCAAACCCGATAAATTATAATTTCCCGCGAAAACCATTATCTCTAGAGAAATTGCTTTTCTCGCGAAAATAAAAAAATCACATTTTATGTCAAAAACTGAAAATTGCATTTTCCATCAAAACTGAGAAATTGTTCATTCCCGCCAAAATCAAAAAAATTTTGTTTTTCCATCAATCCGAGAAATTGTATTTTCCGCCAAAATTGTCAAATTACAATTTCCCTCGAAATCTAAGAAATCATATTTTCCCGCGAAAATCAAGAAATCACATTATCCATCAAAAGCCAAAAATTTGCATTTCCTATCAAAACCGAGAAATCGTATTTATTTGTCAAAATTGAAAAGTTGCATTTTCCTTACATTTTTTCGTCAAAACTAAGTAGGGGTTATTGGTTCTTGTATTTTGATGAATTTAGAAATCTTCTTTGGATTTTATAAATTTATTATTTCAAATTCAAAAATATTGAAAAAAATCAAATCGAATCAAATACCAAAGTTAGACCTTGTATTTGGGTCTTTGTATTTTAGTCATGAAAATCCTTCCAAATTCATTCAAATTCAATTAAAACTTAAATTCTTATAATATTTAGATTTTAAAATTATAGAACCAATAACACTATATATCATTATGGATTTTAAAATCATAGAACTAATAATACTGTATTTTAATATAAATTTTAAAATACAAGAACCAATAAACTGAATTTGGTTTGGATTCTAAAATCCATTTAAATACAATAAGCAATAACACCTCTTAAGATATTTTGTTTTCGCATCAAAATCATATTTTTTTTTCCTCACCAAAGCTAAATATTCACATTTTTTCCGCCAATAATCAAGAAATTATGTTTTTTTTTTTTACCAAAAACTGAAAATCACATTTTCCTACCGAAACCAATAAATTCTCTATTCCCGCCAAACCCAAGAAAATTTGTTCTCGGTAACCACCGGAAATTCTAATCTCCAAGCTCTGGTGGTCTGAGCTTCTCCTCATTTGCTTTCGACTTTCATTTTTTTGTAAACTTTGGGCTTTTTAATGGGTCAGCAAAATAGTAAACTGATTTTATTAGTGTGTTAATGATATGTATTATGTTTATGTTTAATTGGTTCAAATTTTTGGTGATGTGTGAGCTTCTTATAACATAACACTTTATGCGTTATTGTTATATAAGCATAGTTGATGATGAGTCTACACTTTCTTTAATCATATACGTCTTTATCAAATATACATATAGTTAAAATTTTTAATTTTGCTGTTATTTATTATTTGAGTTTCAGTTTGGCAAAAATAGAAAATAAAGATTTAATTTTTTTATTTGTTGTTATTTATTATTTGGAATTGGTAAAGGTAAAAGATAAAATAATTTTTTTATTTGTTATTATTTGATCTTGGGTTTGACAAATAAAAATAAAGAATAACAAAAAAAATATTTTGGTTTTAATGGGTTTAAGTTAAAAATATTAAAAATTAATAGATGATGTGTATTAATAAAATATTTTGATTGATGTTTTTTTTTTGCTGAGGTATAAGCTTCAGAAAATTCTAAAAGGCTAAGATGTATTGGTTAGGTGTTATTGTTGTATTGATTATGTACTTAATGTAATATCTATTTCTCTCACTATTTGGTTCGGTTCAATTTTATCAATTCGGTTTGGATTGGTGTAGTTCTTTTGGTTTTAGGTGATTTGCTATTTTAAGGCATGAAAAGGACCAACGATCCTTTTGAAAATATGAAAGCCCATAAGCCCATCTCGGAGGTCTTTCTTTATAAACGAGAAAAGATGGTGATTTGATTTTTATTTTTCGCTCATTTCCTTCTCGAACAGATAAAAAAAAAAATGTTGCGCACAGTCCCGTTCCAGTTCAAGGCGATCGCAATGAGGAAGCGAAGGAAAGCTTTGCGGGCACGCCTATTAATTCAAATTGTTAATTGTTGCGTGGGCACTCTCATTAATTCGAAATATACTAAAATTCCTTCCCGCAAAGTTTATTCTCTCTCTCTGAAGCTTCAATGGCGGAAACTCATCAACTTAATCGGCGCAGTCACCATAATCTCCAGGACCAGGACTACGATGACGGTAATGATC